CCTACCTTCTACCAGGCAGATATATTTATAATTTGACTCGTGATAATTGTTTTTATGGAAAATATCCCAAATTTTTAAAAATAGCCTTAGTTCACAAATAATTGAAACATTGCATAACAACTTAATCAAACAATGTGTATTTATAAAAGTTCCAAAGAAAAAATGTTTTCAGGTTACAATAATACATCACGTTTAATGTTAAACATCTGCCATAGATTATAAGTTGGACGTATTCCAAAGACTATTAAGGAAAGCTGTAAAAACTGCAAACGACTTCCAGACCATTACAAAGAACTAATGACAAGAACAAAAGTAATAATTTGGAGCTCAAAAGTAAAAAATGATAAACCACACATTTTGAGATTGTTACTGTTTTAGTAATTGCAACTAGGAAGTTTGTAAATAACTTTTAACATGAAGTTAGGAATAGAATGAGGACGCATTTTAGATTAAGTTAATTGCAATGTATGAATCCCGTTTTGGTGTGTGTTTGGTGACTAAAATGATCCCTTTTAGGACAACTTACAGTGAGTGTTTTAAGGATACTCTTTTGTGTGCTACGCAATTCGAATCTTATTTTTTAAACCTAGTCTTGTTACTAATCAAAGTAAACCTTTTGTTTTTAGCACCATTGAAGATGACTAAATGACGAATGGCTTTTGGGTCCAGAAATCTGGTTTCAGATTTGATTGCCAGCTCCTCTAGCTACCATTTGGTTGGTACAATTGGTAAGCAAATAATACCTAGGGGTCAATAACTAACAAATATATGTTTTACTTTCTCTCCTTGTACCATAGTATGGAGAAAGTATTGTTTTCGTAAACATTTTTGAGTTCTGAATGGATATATCCGTTTTGGGTAAGTGGTTTTTAAGCGATGTCTATGCGTGTGTCTGTATGTGTGGATATGTATTGTGTACAGAGCTACAGACCACACCTGTTGTCCGATTGTGATGAAATCTAGTAAGTAGGTAATAATTCATGATATATACAGGTGTTTTTTTTTTCATTTTTAAAATTTTGATTTTTTTGGTGATTTTCCCATAAAACCCATGAAATAATGAAAAAATTCAAATTTTCTCCAAAAAATACACGAACAAATTTGTTTACAATTTTGTATGCACACAAAAACTTCGGACTTTAAATAAAAACTTGAATGCACTTAGTATTCTAAAGAAAATGGTATAACTCCCATTGCTGCAAAAATTACTGTTTAATAACGGAACATTAGATTTTTGAAAGAAAGACACAGTTTTTATTACAATTAGTATGTTATGGTCCTTATAATTCTAAACAAAATAGTGCAACCAAAACTACTGTGTATTTGTGTATTGCTGTAAAAAATATGGTGCAAAAGTAGTTTTTTGTGATTTTCCCTAAAATATCTCAAAATTACTCCCACTACATACCCATAATTAACTCTTTCAATGCGGCGTCATGTTTACTCTTGAAAATTCCACTTATCTCAATGATAAGGAATCAGTCGCCGGCGACTGACCCGCACGCAATGTGTTAAGGTTGTTGACTAGCAAATGGGAGAAAATGTGTGTCAGATTGCTGATACCGTTTATTTTTTATTTTGTTTTTACAGTATTCAGTTTAAATCGGGTGAAAACATACGTAGGCCTAACTAAAAATACAAAACATACTTTACAGAAACTCGCCTTACAATTTAACAGCTGATCAATAAGGTCGATAATATTTAAGGGAGCATTTCAAATTTATTCTGCCTTACATAAGTATTTTATTTCAAAATATGACCGAGTATAGGGAAATACTGTAGCGCCTACCGTTATTTGACCGCTACATGCAGTGCGGATGTGTAATGTGGGCAGCCTTACATGGCAGCGTTTAGACACAGAAAACATACTAGGAAACATATGTTTTCTGTGGTTTAGAGAGCACAGCACAACTCAACTGCAAGTTATTATTTCACATTTTGATGAATCTTTACCCAGTATAGGTAGATTGGGTCATTTGCCCTTTTGTTTACCGTTTATTTTTAGAAATTTATAATTTTACTGATTCACAGTATTGTGTATATCACATGTAAAATTGCAAAAACCACAGCAATAGGAAAGTTTGACACTTTTGCTTCATTAATCAAAATAAGTCATGCAAGTCTAAAGACTAAACTGTATATGTATATTACTAAAAACAAAAATGCGTGAATTTCACGGGAAATGGGTCCCGTGTATATTGAAAAATAGTTATTTGTGTAACTAGTGGGCGTACCGCACACATTATATTTTTCCTACATTTATTAGTCTATAAAGCATAGATATAATTAGTCCTTCAAACACTGTACAACACGTTTTAGGTTAGGTTAAATCCAAATGTTGAAGGAAAATGGGAAAGGGAAACACTGGAACAGCTGATCGAAAGGGAAACACTGGAACAGCTGATCGTAGTCTAGTATTTTCCAACATATTCTGCCAACCAATAAATTTATACTTACAGTTTAAATTTATGTTAAATATGTTACAAAATATTTTGATTTTAAATATCCTAGCAATTTATACAGTGTTTGAAAAAGTGGGGACATAATTTACGTAGTGATTCCTTGGGTCAAAATTAAGAGAAAATCAAGAAAAACTATTTGTTAACCAGATGATTGTCCATCATTTTGTATTTTTTACATTAACATTTTTATCTTTTAAGTTTTACAACAGATCTTTATGAAACTTGGCATGTATGTTAAAGTAGGAGAGAAGAGAACCATTTTGGGAAAAAAGTTATCTTGATACAACTTAATAACGTATGTAAAAAATACAAAATGGGGGATATCTGATTAACAAAGCGATTTTGGAAAAAAAGGTTATTCTTGATTTTCTCCTTTTTTGACCCAAGGAATCACAATGTAAATTATGACCTAACCTCTTTTGAACACCCCGTATAAATCGACTCTTAATAAGAAGCGCCTCCGTTATAAGCTATATTTATAATAAAAAATTAAGTCACTTTGTAAACCATTTTCATAAGATTCTGGAACATATGGAGGGGGGATAAGAAACCTTACTCTTTATTGAAAGTTTAAAAATTATATACTAATCAGAATAACTCCCGTATAACAGACATGATATACTTTAAATTTTCCCTATTCAATATCCAATAAAATTCAGATTTTCCTTATATGGTCAAATTCACATGCATTTCACCACATTAGAACTTAAAGCGTAAAACATTGAATATAACCTAACAATATTCTTTACTTTTATCTCTGTGGATATTTGGAACTCACCCTTATAATGTGAAACAACCCCCTGAAAGCTTAATGTTACAGTCTACATAACATTGCTAAGTTGAGGGTAATAATAAGCCAAAACCCCCCATTTGCTACTTCAACAATACAACAAGCACAGGAAATTGGAGCCATGTAGACCTAATTGGACACAAGGCCTACATTATCCTCTATGCTTCCTTGCAGACATGGTCAGTAATACTGTAGTAGATAACTCAATGATTACATTTCATAGCATTCAAATTTCTAAATAATTACTATTTTATATGTTTTAATGATGATAGGTTGGATTTTATACAAGTAATTTGTATTGTAAATAGGACATTTCATAGCATTCAAATATCAAAATAATTACTAGTTTATAAAATATTTTAAACCAAGTATCGTCCAAGTAATTAGATAAGTTCCAAGTATCATCGTGATATGATGATATGTTGGATTTATTTTTCAAAACCTTATTGATGAGTATTTTAAGTGTTGTGAAACGAACATGTACTAAAATGAGTCTTCAGACACCTTTTCACATATTTCTACATTGATCATGGCTTTTAATTTTCCTTTAAATTATGCATTTCTATTTTGTGCTGTGAATTTAGCCAAAAAGTATTTTTTTTGCACAATAAAAACAGCTGATCAAGATGTTTTGATATAAAATTCCACTAGGAAAACTGTTTAATGTTTTCTACTCAACATGGTGAATTTGCCCATGACAGTAGCAATATAGAAATTGAGTTTGTGCATGCACTGTTTTGAATTTGAAACAATCCCTGAGGAAAAATAATGCAACACCTAAACAAAATTTTAACAAAGATATTTCGGATTTCAACGGCTCAAACTTGGAAACCAATTTGTAGTGACTGCACTTAGAAAACTCATTCACTTTAACAGTAAGAGAATACTTGTAAATGTAGAATCCATGTTAAGAATAAAATAAAATGAATGCCAAGCTAAAATCTGGGTTAAACTTTATAGTGAATCTAGAATTGGCCATAAACAGAATATTTGTTCAAAACACTTCACTGATTGGACTATAAAGCGAGTAATACGGAATTGGCAGAAAACGATTTTGAGCATCCTAAAGGGGTACTTTGAATAAACTGCCATTCTTATTTAAAATAATGATTATTTTAGTTCAAATTAGTGAACTATTCACTCTGTCATTGTTTACTTCGACATCTTCCAACAACACTACTGAATATTTATATTTTGTTATATTTAAATTTGTTTCAAGTAACCAAAGTATTAAATAGAGCACAGAACAAAATGAGAAACACTGCATTAAACATAGTATGGTATTGGAAAAGACAACATTTTCATTCTAAATATGTTTTGAAATACCTAACAATAATAATAATTTCAATAATAGAGAGGTGAAAATATAAATTCCAAACCTATACTATTTGAACTTGAAAAAGTGACTTTTGTTTAATATTTTGAAGTCAATTTGAAATGAATTTTAAGAAAATTGGTGTTCAGGTAATTTTGTTAACATGACTTGCTTTTAATTGAACATATACCTACCAAACATTTTAAATTTCCCTTCATTTTTACTTCATTTTTTTGGAGTTCATTTTTACCGGAAGTATATTGTTAAATATGAATCAACTGACAGGCTAAACTAGCAAAGGTAGAAATACAATATTTGGAATTCATACTCTTTGTTAAGATTTTGCAATATTCTTAGCACTTACGGTATGTTATGTGTTACTCTATAACTTTTCATGTTAAAAAGTTTGAAAGGGTGATTGAAACAATGTAAGTATATATTATTAACTCATATAATTGAATGATAAAATATAGAAGTGTAGAAAAAGTACACAATAATACACACAAATTAACTAGCAAATAAAATCAAATACTAAAAATACTGAATGGAATCAAAACACAAGGTATATACAGTAAACAATAAATTCGATTAAATGAATGTGAAGCAAGATCATAAATAGCTTATAATACTGAAATGAAGAAATGCCCTTTTCAGCACCTGATACTGTCTACGAACATCCGTCCAAAGGTGACCTACAAACAATATCACATTCAATCCGACATCCAACAGTGAAACTCGAGTTGAAATACAAAATAATTGCTTAGCCGCCTTACACAACAGATGTTGGTTTTTATCTCAGATATACAATTTAACAATGTTTTACAAACTATATAGATTTACAAAAACTAAACAATCACTAGTTTGCTGTCAAAACAATAGGTTAACCAACACCTGCCTTAGAATTTGTTTACATATCACAACAGCAAACGGTCACCGCATTAAAATGAGTGTTTTATTAACTCTTTAACAAACAACATATAATTAGAATAATAGGATTTTCGATACATTAACAGTAAAGATGAACACCAAACTGTACAAAACTGTATAGTACAATATATATCGATAAAGGCCTTCCTAGCTCTAAAACCCCAACATTTATATTACAAGAGTCGAACGAACGACCCTCGATAATGAAAATATATCCGATTGTATCGTCCGGATTTGCTCCGTTTGGGAGATAAAGCTATAAAATAATAACACGTTAATTAAATAACTCTATAAATCTGTCGTTTGAATAATCTAGCTGCTATCAAAATATCACTCGCTAAAAGATAAGAAAGGAATGTAATAGAGGAATGAGACTGGCAACAGCGGAAGGCCAAGGAAACCTCTCCTCAGTGCTTGATAAGACTAAAACATAGGTGATAGGTGCGGAATAATATACAGAGACCTACACAAGGCTCTAATATATATATATATATATATTTCAATAGTATAACTCGATATATAGGCTATAAGTTACACTGTACGCCTGGACAGGCAGAGTCCTACAACTATCCGCTATTCATCGTAGTCGCTAATTGAAAAAATAATCACTTTCGAATTCGACAATCCTGAATGGAGATTGAGCATTTCATCTTTTAAATAATACTCGGGTTACGATACGAGTGCTTGTAGAATTAGAGTCGATACGCTCGCGTGATTCTACGCTAAAGGCTAGTTAGGCCAGTACGAATACGTGATAGCTAACGTCTACGCGATGGTGCTAACATGCGATCGTTTATTGTTACTGTACCGTAGGTTACTCGATGAAAGCGTTATAAGCTAAACTATTCTAGATTATCACTGCTAACGGAGAGGAAGGCAGAACATTTGCTGCAGGATGCCGCGCGAAGGAGGCCTTTCCAGTTCCGGTGATGACGTGAGGTCGAAGAGGTCATCAAAGTGGCGGCACCCCCACTCGTGACGTCACACGCAGTCTTCTAGTGACATCAGTAGAGGGTTTACGTACTCGAACCCTTCAAACTCTGACTGATCGATCTTGTCAATCACCCTCCTGCAACAGAACATCATTGTCAAGCAGCTTACACACTAAAATAAAACACCCCCGCTGCAGCAAACCTGCACACTGAGCAAATTCCCATTTACCTGGCTGGATTTCTACTACAATATTCCCTGAAAATTGTCAGATTTATGTTCTATTAAAAAAAAACATTAATTTTAATGAGTACCTAGGTTTGCTGCTACAGGGAAGGTATTGAGTTGTGTTTTTTATTTAAATGTTAATAGCTTAGTATGAAATAAACAAAATTGCTAAATATGATTAAAATATATCCATAAACAAGCAAAATACAACAGTTTATTTAATCTCCACAAACATAACATGGGAATTTTAAATTTTAAGTTTTTTTTTATTATCTCCATAACTGTTAGGCATACAACAATGCTTCAATATACAAAATTATTTCTTTTTAAGCTGTACAAATTGGTCTGGAAAGAAATTGTGAAATTTTATGTTTTTTGAATAAAAAATGGGAAAAACCAATTTTTACCCCATAAAACCCCCATGAATCCCCGTTCCCAAAGTCTGATCATGCTAGTCCGCAAACTCGTTCAAATAAAAGTAAATTTGTACTAAATTTCATCAATATCGGATCAATTTTGCTCAAGTTTTGCTCAATTTTGCTAACGGACATATACATATATATAAATTTATATGAATTTGAACGGAGGGTGGTTTTAGCTTCTGGGGACCTCAACACGAAAAAGTAAATCAGTTCCAGGTCTAGGTCTTACCATGAGACCTACGGTAATGGCTTCTTCCTTATATGGGAAATTCGCCACTGCAGAATTCTTGCACAAAAATAACAATCACCACAAAAAAAATATATGTTGCATTATGTTGTTGGGATTGTGGAACTCAATTCTTGGATAAAAAATATTTTAAGTCTAACTTTTTGATAAAACTTTATATACAACCAAATAAGGCTACATGTGATTCATTTCACTCAAGGGAGTCCACACAAACAGAAGTTCACTCTGCACTCAACTTTTACATTACGCTTGCCACCTGTTTAACCCCACAGATGAAACTTTCCAAATGAATTTCCTGTGACATGACAGGGGAAATATTATATTCCACAACACGGCAGTGTGATTTGCAAATGTTCCTGGGAAAGACTGCTCTATTTACTTATTCGAGGATGCATTTATATTACAGAGATGCCCAATGTTTATCTTAACACAATTTTTAATTGTGTTGTGCAAAGATAACATGGAACTATTTCTTGACAATAAAAGTCATAGTAGAAAGTTGAACAAACTTATATTTTTACAAGAGATAATTTAAAGACTACACGTCTCTAGTCAAAAATGTGAATAATTAATAAGGTAGATTTTCATATTCACGTTTATTAAGGACAATTTTTTACTAATCTCTAAATTGAAACAATATACAATACCCTACCATACTTCAGATTATGGTTCTTATCCTTAATGGTCAGTTAAAATTGTAAAAGAAGTTACATTAATATAAAAATTACAATCCCACATCAGATTTCTGTACATTATTTTCACAGAACATGTTTGCAAAAGAAAGATATTTAGAGTAATAAAATAAAAATATGTTTCTAGTTATGTTTCCTTCAGAATACAACTTTCTCAATAACCAGATTATAGGGAATGGCTCAAAAACTTTAAGAGAGGTTAAGGTAAATTAAGATTAAAGGTTTCCAAATTTATTTATAATCTAAGTAAAACTCAACCAAGTCCCACCTCAGAATTATGATGAGAGGAGTTTCAAAGTAGGAGTAATTCACATGGAAAGTTGAAGAGAGTTCAAAGTTTCAACAAAGAACGTAGAGGGAGTTGCAGTTTAGTTTCAATTCGGAACTCGCTCTTGTGTATGACGCAGGATTATCCGAGCAATTGCATTTTCATTCCCTGCCGCAATTTGGGCCTTCCTTCAGATGGAAAACTTTTCAGAAAACCGTTTTTCTCATTTGGCCTGACTTGCCCTATCAGCATCTGGATTAAAACTTTATTTATAAACTCCCAGAGATGGTTTCATCACTTAGTGAGTGTTTGACAAAAAATATTATTTATGAATAGTATAGAAAACTCTTTATGAAGGGTGTGAATCACTTTAGATTGTGAAACATAGCTTTTATCTAAACTCGCAGCACGTAGGCCACTACTGAATTTAGCTCCTGGTTTTTGTAGACATTATTGATGATGTAGTTTAACAAAATTCAAATACAAAATAGTATACTAAAACATAAAGTTTTAAACAAATCAGCAAAGTTTTACCCTTACATTTTTATTGATTATAATATTTTCAAACTGGACAATCAATTTAAAGCCGTCACGAGATTTAATTTCAGTTTCGAACAGCTCTCAATAAATATAAAAGTAGATCAAATCGGTCTAATGACACACTTGAAACATATGGTTTCACTTATACTGTTAACTCACAAGATGGTAAATACATATAAAAGATGATAAGAGGTGATTGATTTTGATTGGACACTCTCCAACCATCATGCCTATTGGGTCGAACACATTTCAATACAAAACTTAGAGTGAGTTTGTTTTCGGATAGCACAGTCAAGGACTGGTAGGTCTGGAGAGTTTAAAGACTTTTGCTGGTACCTTGTGATTTACACCTTGCATGTCAAACTTCAACACGAGTCATAGCTTTTATTCAAATATCCCTGGTCTAACATGTATGGGGCGGGGTACACTCATTTTGTGTTATCAAAACACTTAAACCCATTTGCTTTTCTGAGTTAGGTGACTTAAACTCATTTGGCACAAAAAGTAGAGTGGAGTATTATTTCTCAGATTTTACTTGGGTGGTCAAGATTTAAAATCTTTCTTATATATGATAATAAGACTTTATTATAAGTCAAAACTATGTAAATGTAATTGAAAACTATGATACATATTGTATAGTTGACCATAATAAACGTAATATGAATATTGAAAAAGAAAACTTTGGACTAAGTTTTTCCATAAAAAAACAAACTGCCACATTCGTAACAAATAGGCTCAACGAACTAAAGAGATTTTTTATTTGGCTTTCACTCTCATCGTTGGTTTGATGACCTATTAAAATAGTAGTTTTGTCTAAACGAATAATTAATTGTTCAAAATTAGATTGTTGTACAAAATATGCTTCGGTATATAAAATGAATAACCAACAAACAATATAGAAACCTACCTAGGAATATGGAACCTTACTGTATGAAAATATTTTGAAGATGCACATGTCACGTTTACCGTACTAAAAACATTATTTAAAAAATCATTCAAAAATTCTATGTCATGCAAATCCATGCAGAGAAATTCCACACAATCATAAAAAAATAAAAATCATATTGATGAAATAATAGTTACATCAAATATTAAATACAAATCTAAAAGTGAATTTAAAAATTGCTAATTTAAAAAATACTCACTTTCAGCTGTGTAATTTCTTAGTTCAACAATATGTTTAACATTTTTTGGGAAATGTTTTCTTCTTCTGTGGGTATTGAATTTTGAATTTAGGAAATAATTCAAAATATTTCACTATGATACTAAAAAGAACAGACTTGAACTTTTCTTGAGGTGATAATATTTTGCACAGAAATGGACAAAATACTCCATTAATTGCTTGGCACTAACTGAATCGTCAGTTGAAATTTACAGACGTTTCACCCTTGTGTTAGCTAGACTGAGAATGAGGTATTTAAATGCAAAGAAAAAGGGACTGGTGGTTACCTTGTTAAATATGACAACACTATTACTACATATTTACTATTAACAAAGAAAAAATGGATGGATTCTGACACTGTCCGCAAAAGCTTACACATTACGATCAAAACATACTAATAGTGTTTGCGAAAGTCAGTTCTGTAATTACCTCAAGGGTTATTTTATTTCGAGAGTAACTTTACACCTTCCTAATCTTGCTGTTACGAGATCATTAAAGTAATACTCTCGGCCACAACTACACTACGAGTTACTTACTGGTCATCGGGTGTCAAATGAACCGGTTCGTCTGTGAATTCCGGTGGGAAGTTGGCAAGATCACGTTCCGAGTCCAGTCTCGGCTTGTACGGAGGGGGAACCTGCTTCTGCTCCAGCTGGTAACAAGCAAGCGTCACAACTACGCAATACTAAGCAACAGTAACAATGGCTGCTACATTCTCCGTCGCAAGCTCCACAACATCCCAGGAACCTGTAGGAAAGGTGTCCCTGCCCTACCTTTAAATCTTTTGGGGACTGAAATGTTCATTTTGTTTACGAACCCGTTGAATTAGGGTGTTGAACTTTGGTCTTCAGAACCCGTTGTTGAACTGGTGAAAATAATGGTCAAGTTAAGAATGCGTTGCAGCTGTTCAAGGGTTGCATTTGTAGCCCTGAAGATTGAACGCAGCAAAGCACTCAAAACGTCAGTGTTTTCAGTTTCACCAGTTCACCTCTTCCGAAGACCAAGAATTCAACAGTCTACTTACTGTGGAATCCTATTTTCTAGATTAAAACGTTGGATTTGTTTGAAATTTGTATTCTGAATGTAATATTTCATATAATACGTGAATAAACTTTTGGAACTGTCAAATAATTATGTGGAACACCATATGATTGTATTTGAAAAACGTTTTTATTTGGGTTTTCAAACGGGTTGGTGAAGTTTTAGTCGGAAATACCTTTGGCCAAAAGTAAAAATGTTAGATTTTATGCATTACTTGGGATTTGAAATAGGAAATCTGTTACACTACATGTGAAATGATAATTAAGTTGATCCTAAACAGTAATCAGAAATAGTTTAATAATAAAATGTGTATTTATAAATAAATTGAATCAATAAAATATCACTTAAAGGATTTTAACGTTTTTAAATTATCTATTCTCCCAGAAAATTTATTCAACTAACGAAATTGTACTGACAAAGAATAAAACACCACCTGATAAAATTTGAAACACAATTTGTTTAAATGCAGAGTCACATTATGTATACAACTTTTAAGGGTCGAAAAGCTCAGAATCTTACCATTACCAGGTCCAGCAGGCGTTGTGGCGAAAGTAACATTGCAGCTTGCAACTACTCATACCCTATAAAAACTTAGCTATAAAAGCACTATTGAAAAACATGCTATTCTAGCTAGGAAAATGTAAAAAATCTAGCAAAAATCATTTCGAGCAAGGACACCTTTCATGGCAAACCTTGTAAAAAACAAGACAAAATAATAAATGAAAACAGAATCTGTAACAAGCACAAGACAGTAGCAGGGTAGTGAGGCGACTCACTGGTCGTCAGGTGTGAGTTGTACAGGCTCCATGGTGAACTGAGGATCAAAGTTGTCAATGTCTAGGTCCGACTCTAGAGTGGGCAAAAACGGAGCTGGCAGTCGCCTTTCGTTGAGCTATAACCACCACATATTGACTAGGGATAGATCACCTGCCAGTGTTTTCATCTAATAGACTGTGGATATGGAAACAGGTTGTTTCGAAACTCTCTCCCGATACTCCGTGATTTTCATTTTTCTAAAGGTCATAATAAAGGTATTTATTAGCAGGTCTGCTAATTTATCGAATTTGCCCAAATTCGTAACTTTAACTTCAGAAAAATTTTTTTTTCAGAATAATTCAAAAACCGATGGTTTTTGAATTATTAAGCTTTGAAAAATTAAAATAGCCGCCATTTTGAAATTGTACAAAACCTGATGCTTTGCATAGCATTAAACAAAAGAATAGTTCCTATTAGTCATCATACAGGTACCAAGTTTGAAGTTGGTACCTCTAGTAGTTCAAAAGTTATGGGAAGTTATGTAAAAAATACATTCATAGTGACAAACGGAAAACAAAGTGAGATAGGGCATATGTTTACATTTTTCTGTTTGTTTTGACCTAAGGAACATGTCCAGGAGTTTCAGGAGAGAGTTTTGAAACACTCTGTGTTATAATCTGTCAGTATGTACAGTAGGCCTACATTTGATATTGACTATGGATATGGGAATTATATATAATAATATTGACTTTCCATGATTTGTCAGTGCCACAATGTACATTTAACATAGAGTATGGATATGGTAATGGACATCTGAGGTATATTGGAGGTAGTTTTTTTGGAGCCCGTATGTCTGTGTATCTGTTTCAGGTTTCAGGAGAACAAATCTACTAAACCAAATAGTCCTTAATTTTTCACAAAGTTGGATTATGAACCTGGCCAACAGCTTGTTTCTGACTTAATCCTATCAAGCTACGCCCCATGGATGTCCAAAGTTTCAAGGCAGATATTTTGGAAGAAAATATTATTTCAATACAAAAGCTATTCAAATTTTTACTGCTCAGAACAAGTAGCAGAAAAGAAATATCAAAATACAGAATTGTTAAACATTCTGTTTCTTTGACACCTATTCAATGAGATATGTCCCTTACAGGAAAAAAAGGAAATATTAAATTGAAACAAATCAAAACAAAACAGTCCTTTATTAAAATTCATGACTATAAAACATGAAATTGTAAACATTATAGATCAAAAGGATAATGGGGCATGTGTAAATGGGGCTATTTGGCACGATACTACCCGTACTTTGTCATAACATGAAACTGGGCAAAAATTGTCTTAATGTCCATTGCAACTCACGAGTCCTTGTCCTTAACTTTTATAAATTTACGTTGACATAGTATTCAATTAATACCCAATTTAAAAATAGTTACACAGTTTTCATCAAAATTGAAAGAAGATAACTACACTCCATAGTCGTTTACTTAATCATAAAAAACCATTGGTTGTAATAATTTCTATATAAATAATTATACTTGTGATTATTAGTCAAAAGTAAAACATTATATTGAGTTAAATAATTTTCATTTTGGCATATTACGTAAAGAATGATAATGTAGGCTGAAAAGTTAATTTGGATTTAAATTTTTTATCACAATTAACAAAAAAGTGTACCTGCCTAACAATTTATTAAGATAAGTCTTTGCAAATACAGTAAAATATTATCAGGTAAAAATATCCCAGAGAAAAATTTACATGAAAATAGATAGATAATAACATAAGCAATTGTACTCCTTGTATTGTATGCAATAGTATCCCTTCAAGGATTCTTATGTATACACGATTAATAACAGATGACCATAACACATATAGTTTTACTGAGCTTGAAAATTAGTAAGTCACAAAATAGAAACTAGTGATGTGGCAACACTGCTCAGTTGGCAACAGACATGACAGCAGCCATTTTGGAAACTCTCATTCACTTTTAAAAGTTTCCCAGGGAACAAAATGTTGTGTCTTCTGTATGTTCTATGGCCCTACCTATACTTCTTCAAGGTAAGCTAGCTGCTATCCTCTTTATTTTACAATAAATTCAATGTTGTAAAGATATTTTTTTGTTTTTTTACAATTGTAGAAAACCCTGCTTACACAGTTTACGACAACATGTTTACAAACGTTATTGACAACGGCTGATATGAACAGAAGTCTTAAATATTTTGTGTAAGCTTCAAGGTAAACACGGCTTTACAACATAGCTAATTTAATTTCATTATTTTGAATCAGCAGATTGAAACTGGATGTTATCTTCTTTTTATACGTTTGCTTATCAAGCGTAATACCCCCGCCGCAGCAAACCTGCCGACTAAGCGAATTTCCATTTGTCTCAATTGATTTTAAATTAAATCTATTTAAATAACATTAGGTTTAACGAGTACCTAGGTTTGCTGCTACGAGGAAACTAATAAGAGTGTGTTTTTTGTAAAATATTAATAGTTTAGTATAAGATGAATAAGTTTGATCAAAACATATCCATAAAAAAGCAAACTACAACATTTTTCAATATACTACCAAAGAATATACAGTAGACTCCCTCTTATCCGGATTCCTCGGGACCGAGGCCAGACCGGGTAACGGGATTTCCGGTTAAACCGACGTCCCCAAAAACTTGTTAAAACGGACCGTTTGAATGCATACTGTAAACATATTTGACTTAAATTTAGGAGAGCATTGTATTTAGACACGTGATCACTGGTCTCAAATCTTTCCCACGAGAGCTGTCGTTTCAGTACCGCCCATTTCCTGCCGATCTAGTCCGGTTAAACCGATGCGCTGATAGAAATTGTTCGGTTAAACCAATGTCCGGTTAAAAGGTGTCCGGATAAGAGAGAATCAACTATAATGGGATTTTTATTTAAAATTTTTTGAATTTTCTCTTTAAAAAGGTCTAGAGACATAAAAAATTTTATGTTTTGAGGGTCAGAAAAGAAGAAAACTTAGAAACCCCTTTTTACCCCATACAACCCCCTGTAAAACCCTGTTCCCATGGTCCAATCATGTTGGTTCGCGAACTCATTCAAGTTTATCTTGCTTTACACCTTCAAACAAAATTTCATCAAAATCGGGAAAATCGGACAAAAATTACTCAAGTTATCGTGTTTACGGACACATTGTATATCTCTCTCTATATATACATGAATAAAAATTTTAGCGAATGCTGTTTTTGGCCTCTGGGGACATCAAAATGAAAAAAGTAAATCGGTCCCGGGCCTAGGTCTTACTACACCACCTACGGTAACAGCTACTTCCCTATAGAGAAACTCGTTAAGACAGGCTAACTGATCCTAATAAAATGTTCTAAACTCAAAATCCACATGATTCTTAAAGGCCTTAAAGAATCTGCATAAACAACAGATTTTACAACATTACACAGAATGAATTCCATATTAATTTGAAACTGTTTTTCTTTGTCACAGCTATTTTGAGAGAACGGCTGGGCGTATAAACTCGGTAGAGGTGTCTAAAGAATGGTCTTGGTCTGTAGATGAGCCATCAAAAGAGAAACATGGTGAATTCCCTTGGGGCTCTGCCCCCGTGGCCTTTAAATTCCCATCCCATGTTATTCTTATGGAGGAAAACGGGGTTTTTGTCACAGCTAATTTGAGAGAACGGCTGGGCGTAGAAACTTGGTAGGGGTCTCTAAAGAAAGGTCTTGGTCTGTAGATGAGCCATCAAAAGAGGAAAGAGGTAAATTCCCTTGGGGCTCTGCCCCAGAAACCCTTAAAGTTGCCTCTTCAGATTTGTTTACATTACGACCATATGCATAATTCTACACTACTTTTTAATGCAACAGCTGTTAATATTTAAATTGTGATTTTGTAACGGTAAAAATTTTACGAGATCAGAAAGCGAGCGTTCGGACGATTTCAAATGTCCCGCGCAAGGTCATTAGTTCTCCGAGCGGCCACGCACTGCGCTAGCGTCGCAACCCCTATAAAAGCGGCGCAGGACAAGGCTCAGTGGGACTTGATTGCTGGGCGAATAGCTAGCAACATCTCCCTGGTAGGGCGAGGGCGGAATAGCCCGGTAAATAAGCCAGTGGTGAAATAACCCTGGTAGCGTCGAATACTAGGTGTTAGGCCGAGGGTGGAATAGCTCTCGGATCCGCGCATATACATCGCGAAACCGTAGGTCGAGGGCGGAATAGCCCGGTAATTAGCCAGTGGTGAAATAACTCTGGTGTCGTCGAATAGTAGGTGTTAGGCCAGGGCGAAATAGCTCGGTGGACCCGCGACAATCGAATCGGTTAATTGTAAGTATAATTGGTTTTAATTCCATAAGTGAAACACGGTATATCCATTAAGTAGAGGTTTTATTTTATTTTCGAAGTTAAGATTTTAGTTAATTACGACCAGTGTTTCACTCACGGAATTTACACCTAATTACTAATTTGTTTAAATTAAGGCCTAACCCGGGCAGTGATGAATGTGTCATTTACTGAAAGCTGATGCTTTAACGACCATATCTGAGCCCATATTTTAAAACTTAACTATTATTATTACTACTAACCCTGGACTAACTCAATTAGATTAGCTATCCGAGGCCGACAGTACAATTTTGTCCCAGGACGAAATTGCACCGTCACAATTTATTGAATTTGTCAAAATGAAGTACAGTATTTGCAATGGATTTTTCTGATTTCAAAATTGATTTTCTTCTGCATCGTGTCATGTTTTGCAATATAATGTTCTATTACCAAATCAGTGAAAAATCCTAATATCACAGTAACTTTTAAAATTATTTCTTATGGAGTTAACTTATATCTAATGTATGGGTTGGTTTCTGCCTTTTTTACCACTTCTTGGAGATTGTACGTAGGTGATATTCTTTGGCATATTGCATCTGTAGACGAAACTTGGGTTGGTGTAAAAATTACAATGGAAAAGAGCGAGAAATCCTGGACAATTTGATATAGGCTAAAAATAAAACTGAATTAACACTGTGCTACATTTCTTGAGCAATCATTGAAATAACCGATTTGCAAACAATGGAAACATAGAAAAAGTCATAGAACACAACCAAGTAGAAAAAATAGAAATAATGTTTTTTTGTTACACTAAAAACACTAAAAAACAAGATCAGCTTTTTGAAAAAAGATAAGATATTTACAAAGGATTTTGATTATATCTAACTGTTGTGTAGATCGTGAGTATTTCCATAATCTTTGAGTCGCCTGTAATGCTTCGCAATTGCTCGAATTCGAGCAACAGGTACACTAGTTCCATTTATTGCTATAGTAAAGGATGTAAATTACAGAACTACCATAAAAAAAAGGAAGAACTTTAACTTTAAGTTTAACGATATACAATTAACCACCCACATTACCTCTGCAAATATGTTTTGTGTTTTCAAAAGGATACTATAAAAATAAAATACAATCTAAATTCATTTGGAAAAGGCTTAGCCAATGCAAACATTTTCTAAAAGTTTCAAATGTTTAGAACTGCTACTCATTTTCATCAGTAAAACTCAACTTACCATTTCCCAGTCGATGCTCTTGAAGAAGGCGTGGTTGGCGATGTCAAAGAAACCAGTTTCTCTGTGACAGCCGAGACGATCCCCGGGGTTCTTGTTGAGGAACCCCTTGAGTACCGAGGCTGCCTTTACTGATAGCGACCGCGGGATTCGGATAGTCTTCTCCAGGATAACTGATCAACATACAACAATGTGACATATGACACAAGTACCTAGTGAGTTAGGAGATTTACGAGGATATCACAAATAGTCCACTCTAGAACAATAAACACAACACTTAGGATACACAATTAGGATATTATATTGTCACTGACAGCAATTTTATCCAATGAAGATTTGAGTTGTTGCCTTTTTAGGTACAATGGTGAACAGAAAGATGATGTAGACATTGTCAACAATGAATATAATTTTCACTAATCAGTTTATATATGTCATCTACAAAATTTTCTTAAATTGACTATATAAGTATATGTACAGTAAAACCTCTTAAACCGCACCCGTTAAACCACAACCATTATATCAAGATTAAAATCAGTGTTTAAATGAATTTGGCAACAAGAATTGTTTACTGTGGCACATACGGCCTTGGCCAACAGAATGTAATGGAGTAGATAGCAACATGGATCTCATACTATGATAAAGATAGTATACATAGTGTGTGGGTAAAGATAGTATGTGGGTGAAATAAATCCCCTAAGAAACCAAGACCTGCACCACTACAACACCTGTCATGGCTCCAAATTTGTCCTACCAGTTCACCGAACTACTCTTTGGGAGAAAAAAAACCTTCCTACACTGGCCGCAAACTGAGGAACCATCTACCTGACTACCTGAGAGACCTGACTGGCAACAAGCTACATCAGGAGTAACTTTAACTGTTAAAGAAGTGGCTGACAGCAAGACCGCTCTACACAAAAAAAATGTATGAACATTCTCAAAATGAACATGTACAACTTACTATTGTATTGACACTATTGTAATTCTTGATGAATGAACAATAAAGAATATTGTATTGTATTGTAAGATCGGAGAACTAATTTTAAAATTACAGCAATTAAAAACACATAACAACTACTGTTATAGATGTCTTTGAATAAGTATGATCTTTAAATTGCTACCATTGATAGAATAAAATATATAGCCTATATGTTATGAATAACAAATTTGTCCCCTTTTTCGGTTAATCAGTGTTTTGCTGTTTGTGAGCCTGCTTAGGTTGGATAATGGAATTGGTATGATGAAATGTGTTATCATCGGTTAAGGTTTGGACTCGTTTGGAGTTTTTCTTGATTAGGTGAACAGTCCTTTTCATTGACTTCTCCAAAGCGTACGACTCGATCACTAGGAGAAAACTCTGTAAAGTAATGGAAAAGTATGGAATACCTAAAAAGTTATTAAATCTATCAAATTCAACTGTTTCAGGATCTAAATTCAAGGTTAACGTCAATGGAGAATTCTCAGAGGATTTTGATATAAATACTGGTGTGAGACAAGGAGATGGTTTGTCCCCATTGTTATTCAACCTAGCTCTGGAAGACTCTCTACAAGAATTACAAAAGCTAGAGGCTGGAATTACTATGGGAACCAACATAAATATCCTGGCATTTGCAGATGATGTGGCACTTGTGGCCAAAAACGAAGAACTAAAAGTTATGGTCTCAAAACTCATAAACCACACTAAAAAAGTTGGCTTAAATATCAATGTAGACAAAACCAAGATAATGGAATGTGGAAGAGCTACCCAATTAAATAATAAAAATCATGTAGAAATAGAAGGACACAAATTTTATAAAGTAAACAATTTCTCTTACCTAGGAGTAATGCTGACAAATAATAATGAAGAAGACTCTGAAATTCAGCAAAGATTAAATGCAGCTCATTAAAGTTTATCGGCATGCCACAAATTGTTGAGTTCTCGCCTACTCTCACAGAAAACTAAAATCTGTATATACAAAACTATAATAAGACCAGTATTACTATATGGCTCAGAGAATTGGGTGATAAGCAAGAGAACTGAGAAACGACTTATAGTGTTCGAAAACAAGATTCTAAGGAAAATCTTTGGACCAACCTTTGAAAACGGATAATGGAGAGTTAAGCACAACAGGGAGTTGAGAGAGTTGTACAGGGACCCAGATATTGTGGCTGAGGTGAGAAGTAGGAGATTGAGATGGGCAGGCCATGTGTTAAGAAAGGAAGAGGGATCCTTAGTAAGAAACGCCCTAAACAACAATCCTGAGGATAGAAGACCTCCTGGAAGGCCCAAGTTGAGGTGGAGAGATCAAGTGAGAAGAGACCTGAGAAGAATGGGAAGAAGGGAGGATGAAGCAGTGATCGTGCAGTATGGAGGCAGTGTGTTGGCGAGGCAAAGTACCTCCTTGGGAACCAAGAGCCACGGCAGTAGTAGTAGTAGTAGTAGGTGAACAGTCTCCATAAGATGGAGGAACCATGACTGTGTCAAAGCATAACAAATTAGACATAATAATCTACATGTCCATCAAGTATGAATATGGTGTTATCTGATTAAACTGCTGTGGTTGAGGGTGTAATCCCTATAACTTTATTACCAGTCGACAGACATCTATGGAGAAAGTTATTCGGAAGTAAAAATGTGCATTAGTGTTGGTAGGAGTTTGGAGAAGATCGTTAACGTTTCTATGATAAGGCTGGCCATCGTTGTTAATTTTGTTTGAAGCAGTGACTGAATTTGGGGAAATTTTGTTTGGATCAATGTGCAACCGCACAAGAAACTGTCATTGAGGGTCTCTAAGACTATCATGGACGTCAGTGGTCTTACAACTTGCCAATCTGTAAACTTATTTAACTTGTTCACCTGTCTCAAAATATAAACATCTGTGGCTGGCCCCATTGTTAAACTGTTTAAGATGTACAGTCTTCTGCTAACCTCACTAAACCACTTGAGCATATTTATTAGGTACGTCAACACTTATCTCTACACACATCTGTCAACTAGAAGTGGATTTCAACAGGAGTGACCTCCTTTCTTAAGATATTAAGAAAGGTGCAGTTTTGAGGCAGTATAAATTTTACCTTTTATCGGGAACAACTACTAGAACAAGAATAAACGATAAAATCGACAACATGTTCATTCAACACCACATAATCATATTGAGATGATTTTGAGGATGATTTTATGGTGCTGTGAACACATTATTATTCTGGGTTTTAGCATAGACAAAAAGAACTAAATATAGACTGTCAGCCGTTCTGTGGTTACCATAGGTTCTGGCGATCCTAGTGGTGTGCGCCAGAACCTATGGTAACCGTAGCACAGCTGACAGTCTATATTTAATTCTTTTTGTCTATGGTTTTAGTATGGAACAAAGGGGGGACCAGCTACATTAGGATAAGGGAAATCGGGTTAAGTACGGGGTGCAGGAAAAGACTACCAGCTTGCTTCATTGGAATGGATGCTTTTAGGTAACCTTAAGTTTTATTAAAACTAGGGATGGACGGGACGGGATTTTTATTTCCTTCCCAATTTTCGGAACGGGACGGGGCGGGATTTTTTCCTGTGCATAAAAAGAAAGTCTTGAGTATTGCAGTTACCAAACAAGACAAACAAAATCAATATTTACCATTTATGGTACTGATCTATAAAAACAAGAAAATGGGTAGGCCTAAAAATTTACAGGTATAAAAATGACTCGCGGTCACGGTGCGATCGTCTAAATGACTTGCGGTCACGGCATGATCGTCGGTATGACTCGCGGTCACGGTGTGATCGTTGGTATGACTCCGCGGTCACGGGTAGATCATCGGTATGACTCCACGGTCACGGCGCGATCGTCGGTATGACTCCGCGTTCTTGGCGTGATCGTCGGTATGACTTTGTGGTCACAGCATGATCGTCGAAATGACTCGAGGTCACGGCGCGATCGTCGAAATGACTCGCGATCGTCGAAATGACTCGCGATCGTCGAAATGACTCGCGATCGTCGAAATGACTCGCGATCGTCAAAATGACTCGCGATCGTCGAAATGACTCGCGATCGTCGAAATGACTAAGCGTTCTCGGCGTGATCAACGGTATGACTTTGTGGTCACAGCATGATCGTCGGTATGTATCCGCGGTCACGGCATGATTGTTGGTATGACTAGTGTTCACGGCGCGATCGTAGTATGACTCTGCGGTCACGGTGCGTTCGTCGAAATGACTTTGCCTCCTGCGTTCGCGGAACTATCGTGAACATCTTTCGCGATAGCGGCGTCATCGTCACTCTCAAAGCGGCAAAATCGCCGACGATCGGACCAAATTCCGTCCTGAAAAATTCCCGATTCAAATGTAATCCCGTCCCAAAAATCGGGAATAAATTTTTCCCGAAAATTTCCCGAAATTTCAGGACCCGTCCATCCCTAATTAAAACTCACAGTGATATCTTTGACTATTAATACAACAACTTCTGTATCCAATAGTCAATGGTGATATCCAATGTAACCACTTATAAAAAATTTTATTTTTATGATCCTAAGCAAACGGTTTAATTTGTACAATTGGATGTACCACAATCATCAGGTGTAATTAAATATAGCTCATTTCACGTTACTTTAGTGCTTTCAAAATTAATAGATGAAAAAACTCAGATAATGGTATACTTTACATATGTGCACTCTAACATTGGCTGTGGTATCGAGTTCTGGGGAAATGCCACTGATAGTAAAAAAATATTTAAAATACAAAAGAGAATTATAAGAGTTATTGCACAAGTTAATCCAAGAACATCTTGTAGAAATTTTTTTTAAAGAATGAAGTTTTTACCTGTGCCCTCTTTGTATATATTCAACACTTTAATCTTTGTCAAAAAACATTTTTCTATTTATGAAGAGAAAAGAACTAACTCCCAATACAGCTTTAGGCCCTTGAGCTCTGTGTTGCAGTACCCCATACATAAATCTGCTGCTTATGAAAAGAGTGCTTTTTATATGGGTCTCAAACTGTATAATAAGCTTCCTGTATCACTGAGAGAGGTAGAATCATTTAAAAAGTTCCGGTTACACTTACTGTCTTACCTGTTAGACAATTGTTTTGTACAGAATTGAGGATTTTTTATCAGTCTGATTGTAGTAAACATAACTTATTGACATTGATATAACTTATTTGTAAACTTTGCTAATAACCGAACTTATTTTAAAACGTTTTTATTAGGTCGCTTTCTTGTCCGCTACAAATTTTGCAACCGATTTTATACTAACTTCCCGATGAGCTAGGGACTTGAAACTTGAAACATATCTCACAAATGGAAGACAATGCAATATTATACAATTTAATTTTCATATTTCCCTTGGGCTACGCCCCATGTGCTTGTTTTTATTAAATAGATTTCTTGCAAATTTTGATACTTCCCGATGAGCTAGAGACTTGAAATTTGAAACATAGCTCACAAATGGATGACATTGCAGTATTATATCATTTAATTTTCATATTTCCTTTCGGGCTACACCCCATGGGCTTGTTTTTATTAGCTCGCTTTCCTACAAATTTTGATATCAATTTTAAACGATGTTCCCGATAAGCTAGAGACTTGAAATTTGAAACATAGCTCACAAATGCATGACAATGCAATATTATATCATTTAATTTTCATATTTCCCTTGGGCTACGCCCCATGGGCTTTCAAATTTTTCATGTTTACATTTTGAAAGGATGTAAATATATCAACTAAGTCAGCTGTAAATACTTAAATTTGACAGTTCGAAGAGCAGAGGTTAAGAGGTATAGGTTATGCTCCCAAGAGATTATTTATACAAACAAACATTTCAAAATAAAGATAAACAATCTGATTGCAGGTATCAAGGTGTTTGTAAATAATGTCAATTTTTGTTTATTTAGTATTCTATAAAGTAAACAATAAATATTTCGAGTGAATGCATTGCAGAGAAATTCCATAACAAACTATAGTTAAATTATTATATATTGTGAGTTTTCGGATTAACGAACTGTAAACATGTAATAATATCAATTATTTGTGAATATTGCATGATAACTCATATTATGGTCAAGGAGACATTCACCCAACGCAAGCGACGCCTAGAGAAGGAAAAGAAAAAAGACTAGTTAAGCTTCAACAGGAATCGCAGGTTTGTAAATCGGCAAGACTACTATGTCAGCGTCAGGCCTATGCTCAATCCACGGCTTATTGGAAGGAGACAGCCTCCCAACGCAAGCTACGGCTAGAGAAGGAGAAGAAAAAAAGACAAGTTAAGCTTCAACATGAATCGAAGACTTGTAAATCTGCAAGATTAGCAAAATGGCGTAAGCGAACTGCCCAAGTACCCAAACATGCTAATGTCGGACGCGAGAATGTCAATGAACTATTGGTCCAAGCGAGATCGGTTGAGAATACCGAAGCGCATATTTCTCGACCAGAATCGGATCGTTTGAGACATTCTGAAAATCATCCAGCATCATAACTGAGCATATTTAAAAATAATAACTAATAAGTACGGTATAGATTTAATTTCAAGTAACAATTTTATCAAATATATTTATGAATAACATTTCTTTGTACTATATTTCAGAAACATTTTGTGATTAAATAGATTGATATATTTATAGTTAGTAGGTAGGCATACATGCAATCTAATACATAATTATATGCAAAGAAACTCAAATAAACCTTAGATTTCCCACATGCCTCTGTCTTAATCTGATATAGATGCTTGAAATAGATTTAACATGCACACACATTAAAACTAAAAAGTATAAAATAATTTATAAATAAAAAACTTTTTTAAACAAAACGTTTTTAAACGCCCTAAAAAGTAGAAAATAATTTACAAATAATTTATAAATATGTTGAGAGAGTATAAATACATGTACGATTTCAAACGAAAAACGTTGGGTGCATGCAATTAATTGATAATAAAACATTAGTTCAGTAGGTGAAGGTAAAATATCTATTGCATGCACCCCACGTTTTTCGTTTTAAATCGTACAAGTATTTATACTCTCTCAACATATTTATAAATTATTTGTAAATTATTTTCTACTTTTTAGGGCGTTTAAAAACGTTTTGTTTAAAAAAGTTTTTTATTTATAAATTATTATACTTGTTTTTTAATACTGTTCAATACTGTTAATACTTTATTCTTATTATGTTTATTACTATATTTATTATTATGTTGCTTTTATTCTATACTAGTACACAATGTATATTTTGACAATTTACCAGCCTGCGTGCAGAAGCACTCCTTAGGCGTTATGTGATGTATTTTAATAAATAAATAAAAAAGTTATGACTGCGAAATGTGATGAAAAAATGCAATACCTTGGAAGAGATAATCCTCTGTATTTTGATCAGGGTTTTCAGAAGCGCCCGCAATGTCAAAAGGACTTCTGCCGGCCAACATCTCATACAGTAGAACTCCCAGCGCCCACCAGTCCACACTGGAGCAGAACATACATTGGCATTAAACTACTTGCAGATCAGCTTGAGCTGACATTAGTGTTACATACTAAAGACAAGTGGATTGAAATATAAAGTTAATTAAAGCTAGTCGAAGAAGTACAGTTATAGAAGTCTTGATTGTTCGATCTTTGTTTATCTGACCTTCTCCTACTTTTTTTTATATAAGAAGTTAACGACCTCTTTCCCTGCGGACATTAAGTAAAAATCATACTCTATTGCTATGTGAAGTGACTGTATACTGTTAACGTTGTGTTGAATCATTACCTTTTCCACCCCTATCTGTTTAAGATCCATGCAACTTGACTGTACTTTCTGTTTTTAAATGCTGCGTAACACACACATCGTCTAATCCTTATACCCACATGTCTCTCTAGTCTCTAGTACCTTTCATGTCGTAAGTCGTGTATTGAAAGAAACCTGTGACTAAATGGACAAGAATCACTATCCTATTTTTTTTAGAAAAGCAGTGGTTTACTTTCTACAAATTATTGTAATATTTAAACAAACTCAGAATCAAATTATCTATGTGAAAAGATAGATCTCCTTGTACACCTTGTAGATTTTCTGTATTTTTCAGCCTATCTGACCTTGCCACGACAGTTTTAGATTGGTAAATGAGGCTTGAATGAACTTAAAAATTAAAATGGTAACTAATCATGTATTATGTATTTAAGTCGACATCAGAAGCCATATAATGCAACTGATGAGTCGAGTCAGAGAATAACCTGGGTCTGCTATGCTTTGATATTGAGAAAGCAACAGGAAGTCTAAGATAAATAAAATCATATGATTAACACAGAAAACTGTATGGATGTGGCATATACTGAAAGAACCAACACTTACAACAGATCAATTTAATAATGATATGGGGAAGCATTAAATTTGGTAATGTGAAAAATTAGCACTTAGATGCAAGATTAAATTCTTTGTAAATAAGTTAGCTTATTCCCTAAAAATTAGCACTTGGTTTGAAAAACATGAGTAGGATTTTGTGACATGACATGGATGCAAGATCATGATGTATATGCACTAAGCTAAAAAACAAGAGGTTTAGTACCTCATCCAACTGTAAGAGTTTTATCTCATCACCCCTCATTAACATGCATGAATAGTAATTGAGTGCCTTAGGAGTTGCTTCAGCTTCCTGTATAATCTCCCTGGGATTTTTAGCATTATTTACGTTAATTCCAGAAACTGTAATCAGTAGTATAGTCTACATACAGTGAGTAACTTGTTTATTTATAAGTCTATGGACAAAGTGAGTGTGTGTTTGACAACAAAGTAGCCGTATGCAGTTGGCTATTCAAACCGTCCAAAGTCTACTGTATGAGTGCACAATGAGTTACCTGAAGCCGTAGTCCTCGCCTCTCAGTATCTCAGGTGCGATGTAGTTAGGTGTCCCACAGAATGTAGATGTAGTGTCCCCAGGTCTGATACCCTCCTTGCACATGCCGTAGTCCGTCAGCTTTATGTGACCCTCATGGTCCAGCAGAACATTGTCTAGTTTCAGGTCCCGATATATAATGCCTGGAAACATTTGTGAATAACAGTGGTTGTGTTATTTGTGCACGGCAATTACATGTAAAAGGATCCCATGAGCTTGGCACATTTTAAGAAGATGGGATTGCGGTAAAAAGGAATTCCGAAGAAAGGAGACTAAAAAGGCCATGGCAAAAATGTTAAACCTAACACATGATTCAGGTGTGAGAGATTTAAATTTGGAGGGACTTTGTTGGTGTAACCGTAGTCTGTATGATCGAAGCTGTCTGCTAACCCTAACTGGAACTTAATACCTGGGATTAAATATCCAGAAGTAGAAAGGCTGGGAAGGACGCACTTAAAGTAATCGATTGGCATAGAAATATGCACTGTGTTTCTTGGCAAGGCTATCACCTCAGGTGTGCTTGACAATTTGGGCAACAATAAGTATTGTATCTTGAGTTAACAAGTCTCACAACAACAGATTAACCAAGGTTGTTGGGACAGAGACTTTTGTGGGATGCAGCAGCACAGTGCAATGCATCTACAAAGGTTTCACATACTAAACTTATCTATTCTTTTTGGTAGAAAATATCCAGGCATTAGGCAACAAACCATTATAAATTTTAAGGCCTGATTTCCTTGCTGCTGACTATCATTGTGATTCTACGCTGCAGTGTCAGCACTGAGTCCCTGTCGAATTACGCAGCGACTGTACGTCGCAGCGGGGTATGGGACTGACTGCTCTTGGAGCAGTGACCCATCCCGAAAAGAGGTAGACACTATCGTCAACTGTTTATAGAACACTTGTGTTTGTCTGTGGATTTCATCAATGTTTCTTTTTCTGCTGGTGAAACTGGACTCTTCACCCGATTGCATGGTTAATTTTAAAACTCTTCTACAACAAAACTCTTTAACATATGCCTAATACTGTTCACGTGTGACCGGAAATATCCTTTGAACTTCGTCAAACATGGGTCTGGTAATTGCTTGAATAGTAAGCTCCTGGGTAGTAAATATATTACTTGTTTTTTGGCTTGAGGAGTATTTATGTTAAATAAGAAAGTCAGCATTAGCGTCTAAGTCCTAAATGAGTGAAAAAAGATCAGAACAACTCTTTCTTTTCATTTGCTTAGCAAAGGTGTTACGTTTTTAACAACCTAACCCCTCTCTGCAACAAAGCTTAAACGCATTAACTCCACGCCGAATACCACAGTTGTTGATTGTATAACCCCACAATCGAATTCAACAGCGTTTTACAGCAGCTAGGAAATCAAGCCTTTAGCGTTGTTAGTAAAACTCGACGTTCATATGAGATTTGGCATTGAGTTGATAAGGACAGTGTACATTATTTCGTAAAATGATCATAGTTTTCACTATAGTAAACCTTTTTCATGAAGGAAGTTGAGTGCTAAGCTTATCTCCGCTGCGTAGAACCTCGCGTGTTCCTCGGGTAGCCTCCTCTGCCGTTGCATGTGGAACATGAGGTCTCCTCCTCTCACAAACTCAATCACAAAGAACAGCCGAGACGGCGTCTGGAAGCACGAGTGTAGCCCAACCAGGAATGGGTGGTTGGACGCTGTTTCAAACACATGTTTCTCCGTTTGCACCCAGTCAATGTCCTGAGAAACAAAGAACAGGTTAAGTTTGTACAAGAAAAGAAATGTATTATGCACATTTCAAATAGCAACTAAAATACTAATTTTCTAGAGAGAAGCCAAACAAGTTAGGGTATTTGTCACCGCAGCAGATGAGCTTTGAAATTTATTTGTCGTAGGACTGCGTTGACTGCAAGTTCACCCTCCCAGTGACGCGCAAATGGTGCTCATCATCTTCATCAAAACGCTGAACTGATAACCAAGTAGCCTATTCATTTTGGAAGACGAGTGAAAGTAATCCCCAGACTACTATTACAAGACTGAAGATGTAACTTATGTAACCTTTTGTGTAAGTGAAAGTAACTCTAGGTCTGAACTATACAGTGGTTCAGGTAATATCTCCCATTTGAAGGAATGGAGGAGATCTTGTGTGCAATTTGCTGTGTAAGGGCATTGCCATGCAAACATACATTTTGACATCAGCTTTATTTTGGCCATTTGGAAACTTGATGCAGCTTTTTCCAGACAGAACTTTCATTATGTTGCTTTAGTACACTTCACAATAAAATTTAAAATGTCTATAGGTTAAGTTTATGGCCATCAAAATTCAAAAACCATATTACCGACCTCACCCATGTACACTAGTAGAAAACATGTACACTAGTTGAATTTCCAATTGCGGCACATTTTTTTTCTCTTTAATATTGTCACAATGGTCAGCACGACACTTCTGTTGTGACAGATGTGTTATAGAGGAGGTGAACACATCTGTACTAGGAAGCACAATCCGTGTCAGGCGGAATTTGTTCCTTACTTTCTGAACAGCCCTTGTACAAACAGTACACTCCAGATTAACCGAGGTTGTTGGGACAGAGACTACCTCGGAGACTGAGAATCTCGGACAACACGAAGGTCGCTTAGATTTTGAGGTTAGGAGTTACAGTACCACATTAGGAAGTCAAATACTTCTAATGTATAACTTTTTACAATACATAGCAAATAAAATTGATTATATGGCAACAATTGCAAATATTCTTCTGAATAAAGTAGTGTTAAAGAAAACGATAACATTAACATGTTCAACACTTTTTAAATCTTCTTGGAAAACTTTAAATACAGTATAATACTGTATTATTAAAATTATGATAAACCAACTCACTGCAGGATTTAACCTTCCGTCGGGCGCATTGATTTTCAAACACCAAAGGGCGCTCACGGAAGCTACCTCCGGGAGTACAAAAACTATACAATGATGAGTAAAAAACATTTTAATAGCAATAAAACTGTAAGAAAAACATTTTTTATGAGTTATTACACTATTACTTAAGCTGTATATCAAATAGAAAATGTTATAATAACAAATAAAAATACGTAAGTGTCGTGGATAAAAACGACTAACTTTTTGTACTTATACAGTACTATTGTAGGCTATATAAGAAAACAAATTTCAATATTGTATGATATAAAATCACGTACATGGTCTAATGAAAATAATCATGTTTATTATCGATAATAATCTACTTACGTATGCCAGTAGGTGTTAATTGTAGATAATTATGCTGTACATGTTTCGAGCCTAGTACGGCTCATCTTCAGCAGCATTGTTGTATGTAAAAATATTTCACATCGAGAGATGATTGTCGACTATTTACAGGAACCACATATATACACAGAACATTTTGATTTTAGCATGCTATTTACACGTATTTTCGTAGCGTACGCTCGTTTAGGTAAAACTCGACCGGACGAGTAGGCCTACAAATGTCGTCCGGTCGAGTTTTACCTAAACGAGCGTACGCTACAAAAATACGTGTAAATAGCATGATAAAATGTTCTGTGTTTTTGTATATATGTGGTTCCTGTAAATAGTCGACAATCATCTCTCGATGTGAAATATTTTTACATACAAGAATGCTGCTGAAGATGAGCCGTACTAGGCTCGAAACATGTACAGCATAATTATCTACAATTGACACCTACTGGCATACGTAAGTAGATTATTATCTATAATAAATATATTAAAGGTGTCAAGGCTGAATAATTTGATTTGAAAATAATCATTTTGTGCATGGAAAACTCATTCAATCAAAGCCCTTAGACAAAAATTGCATCAGTGTATGACATAAAAACACCTATGAGATTATGAAAAAAAATGTTTCATAAGGACAACTTACTTTGCCAAAGCTCTTAAGAAAAAAATTACAATGGTGTTCAAAATAAAACACCTATTGTCTAATGTAAAAAATCATTTGTGTCCTTTTAACACGTTTTGTCAAAGCTCTTTTTCTTGAAAAAAAAAAGGTTTCCGAACTCACGCACCATTAGTTCTTTCTACTAAATGTTGTTCCTTGTCCTCTCTTTCAACATTAGCCAACAATCTCACAATAAGTTCTTCTTCATCCATTTTATAATATCGCTAAATAAGGTCAAACACAAGCGCGCACACGGAACTAGGCTCCGGGAAACCCGTTACATCACAGGGCGCTCACGGAAGCTACTTCCAGTAGTGACGCAAACCACTCCCCAAGGTCGACTGACAACTAGGAAAGGGGTAAGAGTATAAGGTAATCCTAAACCGAATCCGCAAATAAGGTTCGTGAGGTAAATCAGGCCACAGCCCTGCCGAACACATACTATGGTATTTATAACGAAAAAAGTAGTGACCTGGAGGTAACTTCCGTGATGCGCCCGATGGAAGGTTAAAAACATAAGGTGGATCTTTCTAGTTTCAAAAGCATAAAATTACTTTTCATTTGATTTTGACCTGAGCCATAACTTGGCTAAATCATGTGAACATCAAAACATCGTACGTAAACAAAGGCTAACTAAAGCCCATGCCACTTTGATTGATTCCCAGCCTGTAGTAATAAAAGCAATTCCCAAATTTTGACGCAAAGAATCGGCTTACGTAATTAATATTAAGATATGCCAACCCCGTACAAAGGACGGGTACTCTGCTAATATTTTATTATAAAGAGTACAGTAGATTTAATCATAAATCAATGTGAACAATGTTAGATGATACAAAGAAAACATTTTAATACACCTTTATAAATTCATAGATTGCAATACAAATTATCTGCATTTGCTGTTTTTAATAACTGCATCTACAAAAAGGTAATGACGATAACATGAGTTCTAAGGTGGAAACTGGATTTTTCCCAGTCTTGTGACCAATTCCAATCCTCGTGGCCAAATACCCCATAATAGTCAAAAAATTAAAAATCCTTGGACAAAAATAAACGTTTGTGTCAGCAGATGGCTTTGATGTCACCACTGACAAGTTTATCTGCGGAAGGATGTGATTTTTTTTATGAGGGCATGGTAGACCATGGGATTGCATCGCAGCTGAAACAGCATATTGTGCACCCTCATTCACAGGTCACTCTCATTCTCCATCAAATCCCAGGTTCTTCCCTTTGATCTCCAATAGATAGGCCAAGAGAGCTCACTTGCAGACTTTGTAGGGCTGGGCACATAAATATCACGTGGAAGGCTGTCTCCTCCTCCTCTCCAAATTTTCTACATAAGAGGCTCTCAACTTGAATTCCCATCTTGTGTAGATGTCCACGGAATACCCAGTGGCCGCTGATGAAGCCAACCACTTTCCACAGGTTCTTCCTATTCAGCCCAAGGGCATCTGCCGCTATCGCACCGGTAGGTGTCTGCAGCAGTCTCTTTGATTGTATATTGCCTTCTGTTCTTTCCCAGCTCTTTCAATGTTCTTTGCCCATCCACTGGCAACCACACGTCGGCTCTGGACCCGTGAGCGGGCTTTCAGCTCCTTTGTTTGCCTACTGATGTGATTTGCACTGATGAGTATATGTACAGCAAAGAATAATTACATGCTCCTTATCTTATTAAACCCAGGAGCACATTTAAAATTTTTATAATCCAGGGTTTTTCCTAAACATTCCGAAGTTTAGTCCAGTCCCATTACAATTAAAATTTTGGTCAGACGTTAATCCCTCTTTCAAAACAGTCTCCTGAAGTTTAGCTCGGAAATTACATATTTCTGTTGATACTCCCAAAACACTCAATTGCCTTACACCTTAACGTTTCTTCCAGCTATCGGGCCATCCCTCACTTCCTGAAAAATTAGAATCACCATCTTTAAATACCTGATGAAACTGAACAGCCTTCGCTAGTAGCATCGGACAACTTACTGGACTTCCCTGCCCTCTGAGTTGAGAAAACCAGAGAAACAAGGCCTCAGATGTCTGCTCGTAATCACTCTTTTTTAGTTTTTCTTGATAAACCAACACCATTACATCCTGCAATACTTTGAAGTTACCATTTTGCAGTTTCATCATGTTTTAATTTGTGACTTCTGCCTTATTTCCTGAGCTACTTTTCTAGTAGAAATTATTCTTTTTATGGCTTTATACTTTGTTTCAATTGAAACCATGTTTTGCACTCACTATACTGTTTACGTTTTTCACGCATTATACTATTACGGTAAACACCAAAACAAACGTCACTCAAACAACGACACTTTAATAATTACAGGCTGACACTGACTGACTGACAAGTTGCAGACTGCACGGATATTGTACACTGTATACTGTACTGTCTACTGTGTATACTGTGTCTGTGTGTATACTGTGTTGTCTGTGACTGCACAGAATTTCTCGGTTCGAGCTGATAGTGCCCAGGCGGAAATGCCACAGCTATTGTTTATGTTGTGCAGCTTGCTTACGGCTCGTACAGCTTGCTTACGGCTCGTCCAGCTAGCCAACGGTTACTTAACGTTAGTACAGAAACATACATTATGAACGTAATTATAGTATTTTGACCGATATCAATAAGCAATATACAATAAGCAAAAATTACTATTTAGCTTAGTGTTTATATGTTAGTGAGAACACGAGTTGACGATCTTCAAATGAAGCATCAGGACCTCCTGAGCCAAGCCTAAAGACGCATACTTGGAATAGTCAAAACTACTTGCCTTGGAGCATAATTTATGATTGCACAAATACATGTGTACCAATGTTTAGTTAATTTAAATCGCTGAATAATTTTATAGAACAATGATAAGTTCAGTGAAATACGATGTGTGATTTAATGGCATGTACCTTTTTGTATCATCGATGTTCCTGTTTGCTTCATTGGAATTTAATGGGAAAAAACTGATCATCAAATAAATAATGTTAAGGAAAACCAAGTTATCTTTAAGGTAGAAAATCCATCATATATCAAGCAAAAATTTTAGGTATCAAGCAAAAACCAAAAATAAAAATGATCAAAACCTTTAATTTTTTTAGGTTAAGTTTAATTGTTTTAAGTCAAGTTTTTTCTGAATCCTTATTATTATGATTTGGTAAAAATATCATTGTCCAATTTTGTTTAGTACATATCTTTTGTACCCTAGTTGATTAATTGTCTCTTTTAAGCCTAGTCCGTATGTTCTAAAAACTGTGCCTTTGGACTTAAACAAAATGTCAACTAAAGATGGGTCATGTTGACTATTGTTTGTACACAATCTCTTAGCTTATATGACTCAAATTGAACTCAACCCATTCATTTCCAACATGAATCCTAATAGTCCAGCAATATAAGTTGTCTCACCGACTTTTTGTCTAATTTGTTTTGCATACTTTGGAAAGCTTTGTTAAAGTTTGCATTAGCTAGGTAATCTGCTGGTTGAACTTCCTTGTAGGCTAAAGAAGTGTGGCCTCAGTACTCTCAAGTCACCCACCTCAAGTTGTAAATGGGGTGACTTGAGTCAGAAGTGAGTTAAAATTCAAACACTCAATCTTACTCCGCTGTCTCCTGATCAGAGACAACAAATTACACCGTTCACCAATGGATAACAAGGTGAAGAACAGATAACAAGATGATCAACAACAAACGAGCCAAAGCGTACACTAACCTCATCATCAGTGACCAGTGCCTTCTTGATAACTTTCATCGCGTATATTCTTCTCGTCTTCTTCAGTTCTACCATGAGCACCTTGGCGTACGAACCTCGTCCGATCACTCTGATCAGTTCAAAGTCGTTGAGTGAGTATTGTCTCTGTGAACCCGGCTCCAGAGATTCATCACCTGTTTGCCAAATCATATAAAATATTTTAATCAAAATTAAAAATGAATCTACAAAAACTACTAGAATAATTATGCTAACTTTTAAAATTTTGAACAAATTAATTCATTTTTCATGGCAGGAAAAACAGCAAAATTTAATTAAAATTGTAACCATTGTGAAATTAAAAACTGGTCGGGTCACTTTAACAAATATTTAGAGTTTAACATTGAATGAATAACATCCACCATTTTATCCACCTGCTTTAATATATGGGGTGAATTGGTAAAATTAAGGTCTCCAAAACATAAAAATCGTACATTTTTTGGCTGACTGTACTTTTGTTGCTATCAAAATTCTACCAAGTTAAAGTGTTCATAGACCGCTCAATATTGTCCAATATTAAAGCTAATTTATCCAAATTATGAAAGCTTTTGTCTTGCATCTTGTATATCTGTTGGACAATTGACAGAAGGTCTAGATCATGACGATAGGTTAGTTATTCACATCCCTTTGTTGCTCAGAGCTTACTTGGCTTTGTGTGATCTTCAATGGGGACGGACTCGGGTGAAAGATCAAGCGGAGGTTCATGGAAATCTTTCAACTCAGGTAACAGTTCCGAAGGAGGCGTGCCTGCAATGATACAAACAAAATTGGTTTTCTTTCTTTTTAAATGGGCACAAAACCTTAAAAGAACAATTAGTGAAAACGTATTTACTGGAGGTGATAAATAGTAAGTTAAAGTTGTAGTAGATATAGATTACTCATGATAATAAACTGAATCTGACAAGATTAAATAAATTCTATACATATTACAGTTATTTAGGTAAACCTTGAATCTAAGGTATGTTTAAATAAACCAAATAATTCACAATCTTCCTAGTGGTCTTGGAAAGAATTTGGTCTATCCCTGCTCACTGGTAATGTTGTGTTTATGTGATAATCCTATGATATTAAAATGATTTATTTCTATGTGGTCATGTGTTGAGTGTATGAGATTATTCAAACCATTAATACAGCTGATCAAGTATTTTCTTAACTGATGTGTCAAACAATGGCATCCCACAGAAACAAGTAATACCTTAAACTAGAGAACCCGTGCGGCTCAATGAGCCGCATAGTATGAAACATAACTCCAAGGAAAACGTTATGCTTAAATTTGAATAATTCTAGTTACATCTTAGAGTTGTTTAAACCCTTGTTAGAAAGTAATTTTAAATATCTCTATTTGCATCGTAAAAGGTTTACCTAGGCCTACATTATTTCTGCTCTTAGTTTTAACTGATAACTTCTAATGAATGCTAAGCGATCTGCTTCAATTCGAGTTAACATGTTACAAAAACGTTTTTCCAGCATTGAGAATTAAAGAAAACTGTTGCCTTACTGATAGCCTGTGTTAAGTAATTTAAGTTTGGGTAATTTTATTTCTTTGATTTAAGACTTCCCTCTAATCAAACAAATTTTCTCCGTAGAGAATACTGAAAAGTTGGGTGATATAAACCATTTCATGTACCCCATGTTTTACCCACAAACTCTGGGTTACCAACTGGACAGCCATAATCTGCTTTGAATAGGCTAAAGCAGCAACATCATTGAAAGTTGGTTAACATATTTTAACGTGTTGTCTGTCAGTCATAGTATGTGCCCCGCATCAGAACGTTCTCACGTTGTTCAGTGGAATTCTTCTTTTAATACCTGTCCCAAAGTTTTGAAAGTATGGATTCATATGTCGAAATAGGTTGGATAACTCTTCAAGCTATAAGATTTGGATATCAATTTTCATTTTCTCTTTTTGAAATGTGTACATTATTTGCCTCTCCTGAATCATAAAATTAAACTTGATTGAATATGACAAACTTTAATATTTACTCCCAAAAAGCTAATGAGTTTCTTTTTATAAACAGCTGTTTTTGTTTTTAAATTTGTTCTGTGTATTTCTTATGGGAAAACTCCGACCTTTGAGAGGGTCTCACGCCCTTAAGAGTAGGAATTTTATAATTTTAAAACCTTATTGCAAAACTACATATTGAGACGAATCTGTTGACACCTTAAAAGTTGAAATTGGTCCACAAATAAGGGAGGAGTTGCGTTAACAAAAAACGGCTTCACGTATTATATATATAGATAGATGTAACATTTGAAACTGATGACAGGTACTGTAAACCCCATTAGTTAGAAATAACCTTTATTCAGATGATATTTAAGGTTTGTCTACAAATATGCAAGGAACTTCAAACAGTTTAAAACTAAATAGTCTTCATGTCTGATTCAGATAAGTACAATGAACACAATGTTGTGATTTGTTGATTCAGTACGGAATAGAAATTCAACATTTTTGCAAAGAAGACGCTGAGACATTTATATTCATTGTATTATTCAGGGAAGGTCCCTATGGAACTAAAGAGAGAAAGGGACTTATGATCATTTAAAAATACATAGCAGAGACCTTCCCTTCCGTTTTAGTATCTCGAGTAAGAAAGATATTTTATAAAGTGAAAGACATTTTGACAAGAGAATTTTTTAAGGTCGTGTTTCTTATTTACATAAAAGTTTTAAACACATTATTGTGAAGGAGAGAGGTTTATTAACACGTTATGCACGGTTTACTTTTAACTGTTTAAGAGACGTTTTTCAGTCAAAATGTATCTAATTTCGCAACACATTTGGAATGAGTCATATATGTGTTTAGCAATGTCCACCTGTTGTAGTAATGCCCAGTCACGTTAGAACGTTTATTAGGTTATAAATTAACAAAATCTAGCAAAGTTAAATATAAATTGACGATACAAGATTCAAAAATCAAGATACAACAAGACGTAGTATATGCTTCACTCTCATGTCACCAGGAACTTATGAATGAAAATGATGAATAAAATGTTAATTCCTTAAGAATGGTGAGCTGAGCATTAAAAGTACTTTTAACATTAATATCACATAATTTTTAACCAAACAAAACTGCCAGTTAGAGCGTGTCTCCATATAACTAATAAGAATCCAAGTTTAATTTTGTATTATTATTTCTCAAGACGAATATTGGGCTATTATGATTTCTTACTATACCTTAGTGTAGGTTTTTAAATGTAAACAAATTAGAAAACTATTGAGGGATAAATTTCAGTTATCTGTGTGTGATGTTAATCGGTACTCAAATAAAAGTCCACAAAACACAGTCTAATAGAGGACTTCATCAGAGGGCAGATTGAATAGAAGTATGATTTTGAGTACAAAACTGGAGTAAGATAGCTGAAGTCTATCTATAATGTTGAAAAACATTTATATCTACGAAAAGTACTCACAAACGGGCGTACCATCGCCATTAGACTCATCCCTGACGATCGGTTCCACTGCTTCGTTGCTGCAAGGTTTTTGTACAAGTTTGTGACATTTTTTGTGGACCAACAGTTTGCACTGGATGCATTTGAACCCCTGTCGACCGAGTCCCCAGATGCGGTCTTGACAGAAGGCACAGAACGCTCTCTGTAACATACATATCAAATGTCAAGTAGGCACTGTATGCGACATCAAGTAAAATTTCACAATGTGACACTCATAAATCAATCAAGTAGGCATTGGCTTATCATCCCAGGGTTATTACTCACCCGAAAACACTAATACACAGAAATTAAATAAAACTAAACTACAACGATGTCAAACTTATCAAAAATACCTTCACAATGTTCAATACAACTGCGAGTATCAATAAAATCAAAATTACTTTGAGATAGTTTAACAGATGTTCTGAATCTATGAAATACTTCCACCGAGTTGACATCTTATCTCAGATTGACCTCAAAGAATGAGTAAAGCATGAATAAATATTAAATATAAACAAAGTGCAGCTTAGTGACACATCTAGCCTATTATCACACTAAGATACAAATGATGGGAAATGTGATAAGATTGTAATTATACTGCTTATCATTATTTAAATGGCCCATCTATCAGTGAGAAGAGAAGTATTGAAAGAGGATCATTATGGTATTGTAGAGGAAATTATTCAATAACCAAGAAAATTTAAACTTACAAAAGATCTTTTAACCAACTATATAGGAATGATTGTAGCTTTTTAAATTTAAAATAATCAAATAACTCTATAAATTGTTTACATACTCACATAGATTACAATTAATGTCTGCAACTGTAGTACAGTAAATAATTGTTACTAAAGAAAACTGTTTTACTATTTTGGAGGTTAGCTATTTTATCCGACAATAATTTAACAGACAATACTTAATTACCAAAGAAATGTGACTTTTATGCATAATCATTTCTGAAGCTACTGATAAATATCTGTCTAATTACATTTCTCCTCAACTAATGAAAATCTATATTTTATAAAGTTTATTAAAAAAGACACTGATCAAAATTATTTGATTGCGAATCCACCATATTTAATAGCGGTTTAATTTTCATCTATACAGATAAAAAATAAAATAGGTACACCTAAGGCTGATTAAAATATGTCTCAGGTTAATAGGCATAGAGTGATGACGTGTGCATTTTGGGTAACAATGTAAGCTTTTAATTATGTTTAAACAGCTGTAAATGCAGGAAGATACTATTGGAATTTAATCATATGTTTAATTAAGGTTAGATTGGTTCCATTTTATTTTGCTGGATTCCTGTGGCCACAATACTTCACTAACGTTTGAATTTCCCTACAAGTTTTGTTAAATCAAACATAAAGCCACAAACCACCCAAAATTGTTTGTAAAGGCGTGAAGTTATTTAGTGGTGGGAAATTTCCGTAAAATGATTCACAGGCATAAAGAAAAGCTGACTGAAAGGCTTACAAGGGAGCACTAACTGGTTCACGCTTCATTTACCGCCGATAATTACACTCAGGGCGAGCCTAGGCTTTTGGTTTTCAGACCTATTCAAACCAAAATGCAGTAAACATTGCATTTAATAATTGAATTCATCACAGAAAAAGGTATTTTAATCAACATATTAGATCAGTAGATGGTGCTGTGCATGGACCCACCTAAGCAAAGGTTATCCACAATATTTATAAAGTAGGTAAAATTAAAATAGGCCACAAATTATAGCTCATAGCCTGTGACTATGTTGTTGTATTTAGCTCTTAAAAAGTTTGACTAAAGCACCAGAGACTTTAAAGCCAGCCAAGTGGGTTTTATCACACAACTAAGTTTAAAAATATCATTCAGTTATCATGGCGTAGGTCCTTTTCATTATCATATACATTACTTTTGAGTCAGGAATGCCCTGAGGTGCATATGTTATATTTATGAATGCAGTGGAGTGAGATCTTCTGAGTAGCTTTGCTTACTTACTGGTACAAGAACTTTTTAACATTATTTAAACTCATCAGCTCAGACAAATGGTTAGTTTTACTCTAAATTATAGCTTTCTAATAGAATCATTTTTAGGACTGTCATTACTTATTTTGTAGCAAACTAAATAAACATAATAGGCCTATGCAATTAAAAAGTAAACGCATATCTTCTCAAGCATTTTAGGACTTAATTTAGTCAATGATGTTACTTATAGACCACATTTGGAGACTAAAATGGAAAATAGAAAATACAACTTTAAAAATCTGTCTGCTGCGTTCATAAAATCAGATTACATGCTACAAAGACTGTTTGGTTCATTTCAAAAGTAGGACATCAAAGGATAGATTATCAAGAACGTTCATCTACTCTACTTTGGTCCACGCTGCAGAATCAGTTGTTTTCAATGTCTTTTACAGCTTTGCATCTTAGTTTCCTCTTGATTAGCGTACAACAGGAATATTGAAAGGATAAATGATTTATGGTTTTCAAAGTAAAGTTTTCTTCTACACAGAGAATGTAGGACTCTTTACCTGAGAGATCATTATTTTCTTTGCAGCTTGGTGGATTCTATTATCTATCACATAGCTAAATGATTGGCGATGAGCGGGATTTGAACTCCTGTCCCTCACACTATTCACAAGATTGGCCTTGCCCCATCCTCCGTATTTATCCTTTTTGATTTATGGTTTAACACAGCAAGACAAGGAATAAAATCTGCTGATTTGCATTGTTTTACAATAAGGGATTTTTTCATTCCTCTTATTTCACTACTTTTAATAGTGGTTGAACAGATGGTCTTATTCATCATCCCAAACTCATCCTTCATAATTTGCTTGAATTAATTTAAGCTGAGTCTGACTGGTGGTGTAAACTTTAAACAACTATTTGTTAATTGCATATTATCGGGGTTGGTAGAATAAATATTCCAAACGAGCGATAGGCAGTTGAATACCTCAATCACTTTTGATCTGATAACTGATATGGGCATAAACCAATTTCTGTGGCCTCTGTGATTAGCCAAAACTCATAAAACAAAACCATAAAAAAAACCAAAACTCATTGTTACACTAGATTAATACTAATATGAACTATCATGATTCAATATTAAAGAAATATTTTGGATGAATCAAATTATAAAATAGTCAAATTGCAGCTCTAGAACTGAATGGATGGGGATGGGAAGTTGCCAGCAGTGTTTGCAAGAGACGACTTTGCAAAGTCCCAACTCAAACATCACAACTCACCTAAAGATGTAATTAGCGCTTCAAGTTGTTAACGTTTAAAAGACAATTTGAATGAGAATTACAGCTATGGGTAAACTGCCTTATGCAGCTGCCAAGCAGGAGTTAGTATGTGTTTGAATAGTGACTTAACATTTTGTTCAAAGTCTAAGAAAAACTTAATTGCTTAACTTTTATAACTGGGAGTGAAATATTACCCATCCAGTGAATTAAAAGAGAAGAGAAACTTCAGGAGACTTTAATTAGTAAAACAAAATCCCACGCAATGTTTGATTAGAGAATCTTCATAAAATCTTTTTTCATTATAAGTTTTAAAACTGAAGTGTTTTAGAGAATTGTAAACTTTATTTCATAATTAAGACTTTCCCCCTAAGGGTACTTTGATATTTATTTTCCACAGAACACATAGGAACTGAAAAAACTTATTTTAAATCATCAAAGTGATTTCTTGATAAAGTTGTTTCGCTGAATTAAGGCTTAGTTTTTGTCTAAAAACTTCTAAAATAAAACCTGAGCAATATTTATTGTTTCACAGTTGGATATCTTCTTTCCGTTGTTTACCCATGTAGATCTAAATGAGAGGAAGGTAGTGATAAATTACTTTATCACTTACTTATTTTATTTTACTACTTATTATTACTACTTTATTTTACTTACTCTATTAAACCTCTTCGCTTGAAAAATATGTCCATTGACTCTATAAAGTTTCCTCCATCTACGAGCACCACGTCTGTATATACTTCCTGCAAACATAGAGAAAAATGTTATTTCCACATTACTCTTTTGAGGATACATGTTACAGTTCCTTCAAAACTAAGCTAAGCAACTTTATGGTAACTACACCAAGTCAGTTTTATCTTAAATACAATGTCTTATAAAGGGTGAGCCATAAAAACCTGATAGTTTTTATATTGCTCAGCTGTTATATTATCACAGAGTTCATTGTTGCAGACAGCTGTTGTTTTGTTAATGCCATTTTGATGTTAGTTACCATGGCATCAGTGGCTAGTGCATCATTGTTCTTTAGTGATTGAAACCATTGACTATATATATCTACAGATATACCTCCTGTAAGTATATATAGTCAATGTTGAAACATAAAAATGAGTCTGTTATTGTTACACAACGACAGTTTCGTGCTCAATTCAACATTGGTCGTAATGGCACCTTTCCTTTTCAAAATACGATTTTAAAGTGAGTAAGTAACTTCCGGGATACGGCTTCTGCTCTCAAAATAAAGCCAAGTGAGAGGCCTCGTACAGTTAGAACACCGGAAACTATTGGAAATGTTCACGCAAGTGTACTGCAGAGTCAATAACGTTCAGCATGTAAAAAGTCTGTTGCACAGGTCTTAGATCATGTGACTTTTGGTATGGTGCTATCTGAAAAGTAAAGTTTTTTTGTTGAAGCCTGTGATATAAGTGAGCTTAAGCAGTGTATAAGAGATGAGGTTGCTGCTATTCATCAATCAATCTTAGGCAAAATAATGGCAAGTTTATAGAAAAGATGTAAATGGACATCACTTGAGAGAAATCATCAGCCTTAAATAAAATAGTAAAATCATGTAAAGATTTTAGTTAAATTTGCAGTAATAAACTCTTTTTTGCTATCAAGAATTTCATTTTTGAAGTGTCACATTTTTTTGGCTCACCCTTGTACTATGGAATCTCTATACACCTCCGAAATTCCATACAACTAAAGACTATAAATATAAATTAAGGGGTTTGGTATAGTATTTGAGCTAGTACAAGTATATGAATCTATAACATATTGTAACACCATTAGTATTTTATGTTTTTTCTTCTTTTGTTGGAGGATAGTTCTAACCCATATCTTGTTATTGTTTGACTTCAACAGTTCTCAGACAGCATTGATTGAAAGCCGCATGAAAAACAGTATCTGGGAATCAACACTGGTTAGGATCAAACCTTCAGATTTTAAGGCTAACCACTCCGCTACAATTGGTACCCTGAGTTATAATAAATGCCAATGTCTCATGAAAAAACCACTCTAAACTAAATCATTGTTTAGTAGCTATTTTTATACTAAATGAAAACAGTGAAAAAGACAAGTTCTGATAAATTAAAAACTGACATGACCTTCCTTAATATTTTTAAGCCTGAGTCTCAAATTCGAACTAGTTGGAGACATTAGTGGCGACAATGAAAATCGACCATCCTCATCCATTTCCTATAATGGTTTATTTTGTTGTAGAATGAGTGAAATTTCCTTTACACAAATGAAAGGATGAAACAAAAACGACAGTTTCTTTTCGGACATTACAGAAGAGATTAACTAGAATTTCTGTCTGCATTTTAATCACTAGAAACAATTAAAACGTCGGACGCTGGACGCAGGTATTTGTTTTCAATGGCAGACTCTTCAACACTGGCTCGCTCTCCGCTCTCGTTATTGAGCACAGTTCCCAACTCCTCTTCAACCATCATTGCATTTCCGCCCTCATCGCTTTTTACAAACTCGCTCAGTTATTTACTTCCTAACTCGTATCCCACTTTTTATTTTGCGTCGTCCGATCATAGATAAAGTTGGCAATCGATAGATCATGGACTAGATAAATCTCTGTTGAACTACGAATTTGATTTCATACATATTTCACTTTTTGGTTTGGTACAATTATACGCATAGTAAACTCCCTTACATAACTGACTCATAGAGATGCAAATTTGTTATACCTCATTTCCACATTGTCACTCAAACAAAATAAATGTTCTCAAAATAGTGGTACTGTATTCACAAACAACATATTTAGTAATGGAATTTAAACAGCTGTTTACTATGGTGACAAAAATTCACAGTACTGTATATTAATACATTTTGAATAAACATAATGGTACACTTTTTTTAATCCAGATTAAAGTCTGGCCCTATAGTGTCCAAAAGGGAAAAGGTTTTAAACACATTTTGTTTCAATGTACAATTCTATGGACTTTTAACTATCAATTACTCATTTAGTGATTTTCGTATTCTTGCTAGCTTCCCGTATAACAGCTTATTGATTATTGGATTATATCCTATACTCTTATATGAGCAATGTTTGCTTGCATGTATGCTTGTATGCTTGCTTGCACAAAGATCTCAAAAACGGCTTTGACGATTTCCTTCAAATGTTGTAGATAATTAATTTCTGGCCAAAAAACGTGTTTAATGCAGTTAAAACTGCATAAAAAATCTAATTACATAAAAAAATGAAATTGAAAGTCAAACCTTTTTAACATATGGCCTAATGGGTTGCTAATTTGGTTTGGGTGGCTAATGTTGGTTGAACAAAATAACAAGGAAAAAGTAAACAAAAGACATGCAGTTTAACAATGTGTTCAAAATAAGCCATCCACCCACATTATACTAGCAAATTACAAAATACAGTACAAAAGGAAAACATCAGTTGTTACTATTGAGCAAAGATTACACTGAAGACAACTCATTTGGATGAAAATAGTTCCAAGTTCCGATCGAATACTGATTATTTAACTTGGCTCTCTCCTACAAAAACTTAATCCTCAAAGTAATCAGCTGTTTTAATTTAAACTAAATGTCAAAACAATGTTTAAGCAAGTATAGGCCACAGTGACAGTATAAACGAGCTACCTTTCATTGACAGTAAAATAAATAAATGTCTTGAGGATTGCCAGGTTGAAATTGTCATCATAATAAATTGAAATTCCACTGTAACTTAAATAATAAAAGCCAAAATTAGTTGTAAATAAAACGTGAGTTTCCCTTACATTACTTTTACAATCGAAATAAACTACACCATGGCTCGGTCCCCAGGTACTTGTTATCATTATTGGAAGAACAACAATATAAAATAAACTTGAACATTTGGTGTATAATCATGCAAAATGTTACAATTTGGGTACTTAAGAATCGTCAGTTACCAAAAAGTATCTGTAACAATACTACTAAGGAAGGTATAAAGTTTTTAAAACAAAAAAAAACTGGAAAACTATTTTTACAATCTAACAAAACAAGAGTCCTGGCCTCACATATCAAAGGAATGAATAAACATAAATCTGAGTTGTCTGCACAAGCATCCAAATATTCTCTCTCTGTCATAGATGAAAAGGAAACGAATATTGCTGGCTATTTTTTAAAACAAACAAGAGACCATGGTTATTTTAAATTAACACATGTGTGTGTTTATATGATGTTTAAATTGTAAAATAAGGTTTTGTGAGAAAATAAAAATAAAAATTTCAGGATTTGACAATTTTTGCCTGAGACTAAGGTTATACCTAAAATAACATATTGACCTTTAGGACGTTTGTGCTGTTATTTACATTAATGCAACTAAAAATTGTTGAACAAAAATTAACTAATACATTAAGAGTGAATATATTTAACATATCAGAAAATAAAAAGAACCATTGTATTTAGTCAATGGTTTAAAAGTAAAGTACAGTATAGTTTTACTAAAGATAATAAAACTTTCATTCCATATGTAAATGAGTTTAAGACGAAATAAACAAAGAAAATAAAGAGGTGAAAAGCATGGATTAGCTGTGCTTTGTCTAAAAAAAGAAAATGTAGTGGTTAAATTTTAAGTTTTTACCATTAGTTAAGAATCTTAGTATAGAAGAACTAGGCTATGATAACAATTAGTATTACTGAATGATAGTACAGTCTCTTAAGCATTGAATAATCAGGAATTAGGTTTAGGAGTAGAACTGTAATGCATTCAATGAGAAAAAGAAAACAAATTGTAGAAATGGAGATGGCTGGTAAATAATTAGTGGAGGGTCAACTTTTAGCGAATTCCCTCTAAAGGAAGAATAGCTAGGTAGGTCACATTGTAAGACCTAGCCTAGACCCTGAATCGATTTATATTTTCATTTTGATGTCTCTAGAGACCAAAAAAATAGTTCAAATTTGTATGAATTATATATTGATCATGTTTGTGAACTAGAAAGATTAATGGTGAAAGAGTGTTATGGGTTTTTTTTTTAATTATCCCAATTTGTATTGCACCCATGGTGAGGTTGTCGTAGAGCTTAAAAAAACAAATAATTGTGTACATCATAGCATTGTTGTACATCGTTGAACATTTAAATGGTATTTTTTCATACTTAACTATTCAAATGTAAAAAAAAAAACATTTTTTTCGTTTACCTGTAGAAGCGGACCTAATAACTCATCTGTTATTTAAGAAATCCATATCTATACTATTATATAAAAATCTAATGGTGTCTGTCTGTATGTGTATTACTAATAGGTACAAAAACTACTGAATCAACTTGGCTTAATTATCAAATGGTAATACAAAATACTCTTATTTTATCTTAACATAGCTTTCAGTTCACATTTACTTTATTTGATACATTTATTATTTGTGATTTGCCACACCACTGATTAAATTAAACCAAGGAAAATATCATAAAACTAAGCAGTACACAGTGTTTTTTGTTTCTAAAATCAATGAAATATCTGTTACTATGTTTACTTAATGGTACGTGTGAAAATGTAAAGGCAATAGACGATGGAACTGATTAAAAGAACTGGTTTGCATATTAAGTTGTTTCTTGATATTTTTGTAGAGTAGAATCAGAGATGCAATGGAACATATATACCGTTTTTGCTATTACATTTTTTAGTCCTTGATGCTTTGATATTCATATTAGTTTTGTCTGATGTATTTAATGTTAAATTATTTGTTTACATTTTTTTAAAGTAGGGTTTAGTTTCTTTAATATTTCAAAAGACACACTTTAATATAAGGCACAACATTACTTCTAAATTTTAAAACAGCTGACATTAGTTTTGCTAATGATTTATTGTGAATGAAGAAACTGAAGATGGAAGGATTTGTGATTTAATATGAAGAAGAGTGAAATAAAAAAAATGTTCATTTAAATTTAATAATTAGTATTTTTACAACTTCAAAATATAAATTTAAAATGTCAAAAATAAAGAAAATAGATATGTAGTTAAGGGAGATGAAGGTAAATCATGTATGTAAAAATTTTATTCGAAGATTTGGTCAGTTTTTTCTCATATCAGCCTACACAAGATTTAAAATTAATCAATACCAAGTGGTGGCATCCACTACTTACCAGATTTAAAAGTCATAACTTAAAAGTTTCTATTACGGCCATAGAAGTTGAATTTTGTTTCTAAAAGCGTTGGCGGATGTGTAACTATTATATGCAACAGATGTAAAGATTGAAATGTTTATATTTTGTGTCCTCTTCCCGTAAGAAATAACAAGGCACACGTGACAATGACTTGTAATGACTTCAATACACGATTAATCACATGACAACCACACCCAGTGAATGAACATGATCAAACAGAGGATATATATTGCAGTCCAATCAACCACCACTGGCCTTGTATGGGGCCTGATTGACATTATCAGCTATTGTACTGAGAAAGCATCTGCCACACCACCATAGGTGAATGGCGACTTAATAGTAGATAACACTAACATAATTTGTCTATAGTGGTTGTGGTATTTTCAGTAAACAGCTTATTTTTCATATTTAGTTAACTCTCTCCGAATAAATGACAGCTGAACAAAACAAATAAGGTTAAGTTTATTTTAAATCTACAGGATAATGTCCGTATGTATCCAATACAAAAAAATTATACAAGAGAAGTTTAAACTTAAAGTATACAGCAAAACAAAATTTGGTTAAGAAACAAATTATTTATGAAGATACGAGTAATTAACAGTAGGTATATATACAGAGAATATTTTTCGTTTGCCTAGTTTTGAAGTGCATAATGACATTTATTCCTAACCAAAACATGCTAACCTCAATGTTTTAAGAATGTTTGAGGAGCTTGTGCAATTTTTATGTATTGTGATTTTTACTTATATAAAAAAGTAATGGACATTTCCGAAAATGTAACATTTCAAATACTCTACCGGAAATAGCGGGGAAAGCGCAATATAAATATTAAACCTATAACATCTAAAATATAGGGAAAAGTGAGAAAGATAATATGAAATGTATATGCGATGAATGAACAATAAAACGATAACAAGACTTTGTCACATAATAACAACTGTATATGATAGCTGATGTGCTTTTGTGTAACAAATCGAAAATCAAACCAAAATAAGCAACATTTTTCTGATGTTAAAAAAGTACCAATTTTCTCAGTACATTGTAATAAAAAAAACAAGCTCAAAGTGTTATGGAGAAAGTATATTTTTCGTCAAAATTTTCGAGTTTGAGTTTTGAGTGGGTATATCTGTTTTTGGGTCCTCCTGAACAAAAAAGTGGTTTTAGAAGCGATGTGTCTGTGTGAATTTGTACAGAGTTACAGACCACAGCTATAGTCCGATTTTGATTAAATTTGGTATGTAGGCACTAATCAATCTATGGTATCTCCACACGTTTTTTTTCAAACGGAAAATTCAAATACCCTGCTGCAGCAATCCTGCAGACTAATCTGACTTCAATTTACCTAATTTGAATTTCACGAAAATATTACATAAAATGTCTGATTTATTTCCTATTTAAATAACATTAGATTTAATGAGTACTCCAGTTTGCTGCTACAGAGAATGTAATACAGTGTTTTTTTCAGCGAAATGTTGATAGCTTAGTATGAAATAAATACATTCGACAAATATTATCAAAATATAGCCTATCCAGAACCAGCAATTAAAAAAAACATTTCACCTAATTATAAAAATAACTGGCAATTTTGAAAATTACATATGCTTTTTAAAATTTTATCCATAACCGTTAGTCGTACCAAACGCTTCAGCATACTAAATTAATTTTTTTAAGCTCTACAAAATGGTTTATAAACAAATTGGAACCTTTATATTTTGAGAGTTGAAAATGGGAAAAGCCAATTTGACCCTATAAAGCCCTGATCCCATTGTCTGATTACCCAGGGGTTCTTCCCCAATAGTATGGGCAATTCACTAAAACGACAAGACAGTAGAAAGGAAAAACAAAACACAAAAATGCAAAGGAATATTGGTGGTCGTCTGTTCTTAAAAATAAAACCCCCGCTTAACAGTAACTTTGAAAATTTTAATTGCAAATATGTACCAACAACATATGGAATACGAAATGGTTAGAAATAGGTAGTTTAATCACAAATTGGTTGATAAAATCAATAACTACAATAAATTATGCTTTATGTTTTAAAGTTGGTATGTGTAAAATCCAAATTAAAAAAGACGTATGCAATTTTGTATTAAGATATAAAAATAAAAATAATCAAACAATTGAGTAAAACAAAATTAATTACACAATTCAAACCAACAAATTGAATTGCAATAACCACATGATACAACATATAAAGCAAATATCTAACAGCAACAAAAGGAAAGTAAAGCTAGGTAAGTTAAGCAAAAGCCAAACAAATATAAAGTAAAAAACTTACTATCCTCTCCTTGACATGGCATACCAGGAGCAGGTGGAACATTGGGGAAAACTGAAACAGACAAAAAATGACATCAGTGATGTGCTTAATGCATCTTTCTTCCTATACGGAATACACTGAGTACAATAAATACAATGTAATAAATATAAACAATGTATCCATACGACGAAAAAAAACTTGGAACAACGAAAAACACTGAATCAAGTTTTGTCCGGTTTTAGCGAATTCCCCTATAGGGAAGTAGCTATTACCGAAGGTGGCACAGTAAGACCTAGGCCTGGGACTGATTTACTTTTTCATTTTGATGTCCCAAGAGGCCAAAAACACAATTTGTTTAAATTTTATATGTCCGTGAACACGATAACTTGAGTAATTTTTGTCCGATTTTGACAAAATTTGGTTTAAAGGTGTACCTAAGGCGCGATAAACTTGAATGCGTTATCAAGTTTATCCCGTTTATATCAGTTTTAAGTTTAATGACGTTTTTATTGTGTCTGTCAGCTCATAGATTGTCTTAGGTTAACATGTTGTAGTTGAAAAAATTATACTACGTTTCTATATCATACCAACTTGTACCAAATTGACAGAAAAAATCTCTCTTTAAAAAACTACGATCACCTGGAGATATTTATTGCAATTAGACACTATTCTATTGCAAGTGTGACCAAAGCTATAATGTTTAGCCCAAACAGTCGTGGGAGAAGTTTGTGCGGCTGTCGGAGCCAAATAAGTTGTAAACAATATTTGCGACTTACGCCAACTCCAAATACCGTCCGATTAATGCTACAGGGATTGCTTTGACCCAACCCTCACACAGTTAGATTCAATTTGGAAATCCTTAGTTAAGTTAAATTGTACACTACATTTTACACATTACTTGTCTTTCAACTGTAGTACAAATTGATTAAAAAAATTCATTAATGAATTCCTAGGTAAAAAAAAAACAAACAATAACTTATTACCTAAAAAATTTTAAGAGAAGTTTGTTCAAATTGATACATTTTTCCCTTAAAAGCCAACCTTGTTATCTAAGTCTTTTGTAATTTGGCTAAGCCTTTCTCCAAAATGTTTAGCTTTCTTTTCGGATTTGACGGTAACATCTTCAGACGGGGAAAAAAACTTACGCAGAAAGGTCGCAGAATGGTTATTTATGGATTTAAAATTAGTTTTATAAATAATATGGTGAACAGAAGAAATGCATTTTTTCTTGGCAATATTTACTTTGTTTAGCTATGTTCATACTTTCTAGCGGGCTTAAGATTCAAACGGAAGATTTGTATTAATTTAAATATTATTTAACACCAGGACACTCAAGAAAATTACGAACAATTTAATACGACAAATTAGTTACCGTATTGTGTTATATTAAGTTTTATCTGGTACTATATTTTAAATCATAAACTAGTTAAAAGTTATTAAAATACGACCCTAAAATTACAACTTAATTAATAATTATACCAATAGGTATGTTTTTTTAAACCCGCAGGAAATCTACTTACCTGTCTACGCAGAATTTCGCAAAAATTCTATTTGATAATATTTTTAAACAATTTAAAAACGTTTCTTTTGTGAATTATTACCAAAAAACTCTGTGCAGTTTAACGAATTTCCCAGCGGGATGTAAAGCGTACCCGCAATAGTTGTTTACTGCATGTAACGGAAAAGCACTTAGACCCACTTATCTCGTCATTTAAATTAAACTCCAACAAACTGACACTAAATAGAAATCCCGCAGCGCAACCAGTGTAACTAGACGACCATTGCACCATTCGCAACTACCATCAGCCGGTGACAAAATAATAGTTGTGTGGTTGTGTACGGTACTGATTAATTTGCGTAATATGTTTTTGTTGTCCTAGGACGCTAGGAACGAGCCCAGAATCGTTTTTCACATTACTTCAGACTAGACCTAGGGGTTACGGCAATAGCACTTAGATAAAATCCATTGGTGATTTGGCAGGGTTTGAACCCGGGACCCCAGGAACCGCGCTCTAACCACTAGACTAGCTCGCTCCCCCACCTCATGCGTACATTAAGACATAACTCAATGAGTAATTTGCGTAATAATAAACTGTAATAATAAACAATACAACATGGATAAATTTAGAACCTAACATAGTTATTCCATATTATCTAATCCTCATATGGATTTTAGAGAAATAGCTTCTCCAACCTAAAAAAAACTCTTCATCTAACTCTATCGTTTCCTTGGTCTCTGGGTAAGTGGAGGACAAATGTTTGAAAACTCAAATCTATTGGTGATTGGAAAGATTTGAACTTGACGCTATACAAGTCCAGCACACCACTAGATCATCCTAGTTTCCACTATTGCTGAAATACAATTTTGTTAACTTTTAAGACGATTTTCTTCAGACGCTTTTGATCGAACCTCATTTTTAACCGACTTCCCCACTACCAACAAAGGAGGAGGTTCTCAATTTGTTTGTGGCGATGTTTTTTTTTTCTATGTATGTTCACCAATTTCTCTGTGATTCTTTTACCGATCAGTGTGGTTCCACCACCAAAATAACCAGGAGAATTTCTATTTGGTACCTTATATATTATGTTTAAGTATAATATTTGTTTCGGTGAAATTTTCTGAAAACCTTAAATATTCAACATTTGTTTTGTTTACATTTGTGCAGAGAAGGCAATAAATAATAATAACATTCCTACAGCTGTTAGTTGAAACCATTTAAATGAAGCTAGAGACAATTCTTAATGAAACAGTTGCTTCATACTGATCAATATACTATTTCTTGCCATGAAGCCTTTGAATTACATTGAGAAAAATGCATTTTGTTTTGGTTACTATAAAAAATGTATTTTAACGTTTGACCTGATTTGTGTATACAGTAATTCTGTTATTAGTATTGAATATTCTGACTTACAAAAACATATATGTTTCAGTGAATAGCTGTATGATATTGACAAATAAAGGTGTATTGTGAAAACCAAAGCATTCGTAAAACAATTCTAAATATAAATTAAATGCATTTATTCCTTGCACCACTTTTAGCTGAACCAATCTTTCATATACATATTTCATTTGCAGATGTGGAGTGTTTATTAATATTCTCTACCCAGTTACTATATCAGATCAATACTATTATGCCTGCTTCGGAAAGTCCTAGAGGAAGATGATTTGCAATTTCGACTAGGCTATATCTTGAGCAAACAAAACCCCCTACATGACTTACACCACTTTAAGCTGAACCAATCTTTTATATAATATTTTCCAAAGGTACTATACGTGTTAACAACCAATTTTCCACTTTTGAGAGATTTTTTAGTGCTGGTAGCTGAGGAATAACTTTCATTCTAAAAGGCTTGAGACGTTACTGCATTTCTTTTTATAATGTAGAAGTACACCGATTGCAGGAAACGATGATGTCTGATATTTCAATGTATCTAGAAAAGACAATTAGTTAGGCCTAATGTAATGGACAACTCTTTCCTTCTTAAGGAATATCTAAAAATGTTTATTTTCATACCCATTGATTATGTAACCTGAACAGGTGACTCAAGCAGTTTTAAAATAATGATTGTTCTGTGGAACTTTTGATTGTGTCAAACAGTTTTGCTTATCAAAAATCCTCAAGTAATTAATATATAAAAAATTATACAGTCACTAAAAATCATGAAATAATTTATTTTTGTAAAAAAATACAACCGACTTCAAACGCTCTAAAAAGAATGAAATAATTTCAATAAAATAAACTTTTGTATTAGGCAAGCTCACGTATTTCAAGTCGGCGTGGCTCAAACTGCAAATATGATTGAAACTAAATATTGTGTGTGTATTTTGAAAACTAATAAATTGTAGCTGGATAACATAAATATATAAAAAAACATACTGAACTGTTTCGTTTATATATTAAAGGAAATATCTTCTTGTATTTTATGTTTAGGCCTACTTCAGAATAAATGCATTATGAAAATAACACACACAAATGTTCTATATGAATAGGAAAATAATTTTGTTTGATATTATGATAGGGAAAAGAAGCTAGTTGTAACAATTCAATATTTTCACCAATATTTTTTTATAGAATAATTTAATTTCCACCATATGTTTTCATTTTATCTAAACGTTAATCCCTTTTCAAACCATATATAGTAATTAATTGTCCATGCAGACCAATAGGTAATCAATTTAATACAATATAATATAGAAATTTTCAAATAACCTAATATCATGTAAATATATAATAGCCTATAACTTTTGTAACAAAATTGATTCAAATTCAATATAATTTTATTTAAATAACTTTTCAAAATTATAATTCAGCTCTCTAGCAAATGAAATGTGTTATAATATATATGTGTGAACAGTGGCCTATAATTTTATGTTATTAAGTCGGCATTGACATATGTGAGTGCAACAATACATCAGACCATCATCACTTCCAATAGAGCCAAGATAGTATGAAGATGCAAATTAGACACTACATATTTAATATCAAAATTTTATAAAAAAAGTACATTATTCGGACAAAATTTGTGAAATTTGTTGAAAGAAGAACCATCCTTGTGACGAACATTCATAATTTATAACATCAAGAACTTTACTTCAAAGAAGACATCAATTTTGGTGAGATTACTCCAATAGACTTTTACCCCTTTGGAAGCCATTAAAACTTTTTTTAGGCCCAACCTTTGGACATTTGTACTCAAATTCAAAGTCAAGAACTTATAGAAGCTTAACCTATTCAAAATTATTATTAATTCAACCAATCTATAATTCGAACATACTTTATATTTTAAAACAAAATTTAATTAGGCTTATATATCACAAGATTAATTTCAAATGCCGCTCGATCACCCCACCTGAGAAAGATCCTTGCAGTAGCCTAAATTATAACATTGAACTTAAATAATTAAAACCATTGTAATAGGCCTAGCTTAAAGTTTTTTTTTAAAGTAAATTCATTTCCCACTGTTTGTACAATTTATTGTGAACCCCCTTTCTTTTCTTTCACTATCAGATTTGTATAATAATTAATAAATTTAAGTTTCGATTTGTACATGGAGTTTCCATTGTAGACCTA